GAGAGTACTGGGTCTTGGCGACGCAGATGGGCAGGTTGCCGTAGCCCTGCTGGGTGTACGTGTCGACCTTCTTCTGAGCAAGCTCGCTGAACTCAACCTTGGCAGCACCGTACATCTTCTGAGCAATGGCCTCGAGGCGCTGCTCGATAGAGCCGTCAAGGCCGTAGGTCAGCTTCAGCTCCTTGGGCTTCTCACTGGCAGCAATGACTCCCTTGGCCAGATCAACGGCTCCCAGGCCGCCCTTGGCCCAGTGGTCAGCAAGAATGGCATCCTCGGCACCAGCGGCAATAGCCTCCTCGCGAAGGACGGCAATCTCCGCCTCGGTGTCGGTAGCAAACTTGTTAATGGCAACGACAACAGGAATGCCAAAAGACTTGGCGTTGGCAATCTGCTTCCGGAGGTTGACACAGCCGGCTCGGAGGATCTCGACATTCTCCTGCTTGTAGACAGCATCGAGGGCAGCGCCGGGAGCAATGGGGGGGCCGCCACCGTGCACCTTGAGGGCACGGATGGTAGCGACGACGACGACAACGTCGGGCACAAGTCCTGAAGTGCGGCACTTGATGTTGAAGAAGCGCTCGCCGCCCATGGTGAAGTCGAAGCCGGCCTCGGTGACGACAAAGCCCGTCTTTTCGTTGTGATCCTCATCAGGCTCGGTACCCGCAAGCTTCAAGGCCAGCCTATCGGCAAGAATGGAGCTCTGACCGATGCTGATGTTGGCAAAAGGACCGGCGTGGACGAAGACGGGGGTGCCCTCCAGCGTCTGCATAAGGTTGGGCTTGATGGCATCTTTCATCAGAGCGGTAAGAGCACCGCCGGCGCCAATGTCGTCGCAAGTGACGGGATCTCCGCCACGAGAGGTGCCGATAACCATGCGGCCCAAGCGGCTGCGCATGTCCGCAAGGTCGGTGCTGAGCGCCAGGATAGCCATACACTCACTGGCAACAGAGATGTCGAAACCTGTCTCACGAGAGTGTCCCTTCTCAGTGGGGGCGGTGCCAACAGTGATGCCTCGAAGGTGGCGATCGTTGACGTCCAACACGCGCCTCCAGGTGATTGTCTCGGGATCAATGTCCAGTCGGACGAAGCGGCGGATCTCGTCAGGAGTCAACTCGTCAGGGTTGGTCTTATCAATTCCCAGCTTCTTAAGACGGCCCAGCATAGAGGGAGTGAACTTTCTCACACCGTTCTTGGCGGGTACCAGACGGCGGTATAGGGGGCCGTCCTTCTGGCTGTTCTCGTGGAACATGCGCGTCTCAATCGCGGCGGCCAACAGGTTGTTCGCCGCGGTGATGGCGTGGATGTCGCCTGTGAGATGCATGTTGAACTCATCCATGGGGATGACCTGGCTGTAACCTCCACCGGCAGCACCACCCTTGATACCGAATGTCGGTCCTTGGCTGGGCTGTCGCACGTTGGCAAAAGAAATCCGGCCAACGTGAGCGCCGAGCGCCTGAGCCAGACCCATGGTGGTGGTGGATTTGCCCTCACCAAGGGGTGTTGGGGTAATACCAGTGACAACGACATAGCGGCCGTTTCGTCGGTGCTCAAGTCGCTTAAGCAGGCTGAGGTCGACCTTGCCCTTGTACGCTCCGTAGGGCTCCAACTCGTGGGACTCGATACCAATTTCCGCGGCGACACGGGTAATCTGCTTGGGGGCTTGGGCTCGGGAGATTGCAATGTCTGACGGGACGGGGGATTGAAGGTGGAGGGGGAGGGGAACGGTCTGCCTAAGCTTCTCGTTCTCGAAAAAGGTGTTTGTGGCCTCGACAACGTTCTCCAACAGCATGGCAACAGTCATGGGGCCAACACCGCCAGGAACCGGAGTGATGACGGAGGCGACCTCAACGGCAGTGTCGAATTCGACATCGCCTACAAGTCGCTGGCCAGACTTGCGAGTTGCATCGGGAATGTAGTTGGTTCCCACATCAATGACAACGGCACCAGGCTTCAACCACTCGCCCTTGACAAAGTTGGGAGCTCCAATGGCGACGACGACGACGTCAGCGTTCTTGAGGTGGAAGGGCAGGTCGGCCGTTCCAGAGTGGCACATGGTGACAGTGGCATTGGCTCGGTTCAGGAGCTGAGCAACAGGACCACCGACAATGTTGCTGCGGCCAATAACTACAGCATTCTTGCCGGCAAGTTCAATACCAGCCTCCTTCAGCAGAGTAATAACACCCTTGGGAGTGCAGGGAGTGAAGATGGGCTGGCCGCCGCGCTTGGCAAGCTCGCCAATGTTGTTGGTACCAAAGCCGTCAACATCCTTCTCGTCGGCGACAGCAGAGGTAATGTTTGGCTCTGATATGTGCTTGGGGAGAGGCAGCTGGACAAGGATGCCGTTGACAGCATCGTCGTTGTTAAGACGACGGATCTGGTCGAGGAGCTCGATCTCGGCAATGTCCTCTGGGAAGTGAAGCAGCTTGCAGTCGATGCGGGCCTGGAGATAACATGTTAGACGACCATTGCATTTGGCAACTTGGATATTATTGTTCAATATGTCTTACCTCCTCGGCGGCCTTGAGCTTCATGCGCACATAGGTGCCTGTAAGAAAAGTCAGCCGCGGTTCGAAGATGAGCCGATATGGATATGGGATACGATAAGGATGAGGTGGGGAGAAGACGTACTAGAATCAGAACGATCGCCAACTAGAAAGAGAGAAAAAAGTCAGTTAGCTATTAGTTCGCGCAAACCAGAGTATATGGAGAATAAAGAAGGAAAGAGGATTTTCTTCTTCTTCTTCTTTCCCGTCTCCTTTCACATGCATTGTCGGTCGTACCTTGGATGATTCTGAGGCTGGGGTGATAGCGGGGGTTCTTCTTCTGCTTCTCTGCAATTTCTGCGCCCAGCCGTTCACGAATGGCTTTGGCAATGCTGTTGCCGTCAAGCTTTGTGGCAACCATGGCGGCGGCTGTCGTCCCAAACAATCGCTGCTGCTGGAGTTGCGAGGGTAATCTGCCTGTAGAGAGAAGAGGCGATGACAGAAACGAAGAGGATGAGAATGAAGAGAGAGAAGACCGAATATCCACCGATGCTGGGGAGAAATGGCCGATCGTGCCTGCGGAACCACCAGGGTTAGTGGACAAAAGTACTTGTGCAGCCGCCGAGGGGCTTAAAATCGCCGTACCTAGGGCCCTGGGGCTGCCGGAAATAGGCGGCAAGTGGCGGGAGATGGCCGCTGAACTCGCAGCCTCGCCAGTGATGCAGCGCAGTGAGCTTCTGAACACAGGCCTGGCCATGTGCAGGCGTTGATGAGGCGCCATTTTGATTTGATGATATGTACCTGTTGGTTGGTTGGTTGTACCAGTACTCTCACCACATGCAGCCAGATCCTAATCGGAATCTTTCGGTCCCGAGAGGAATGCTAGGATTGCGCTCTGGTGAGCATGCACGTAAGAAGCGGTATGTACGGAATAGGATGGGATTTCTGAATTCGACCAGGTTGTTGGTTTTGAAGTCGGCGCAGCATTTGCGACTCGTCCTGTCCTCTTTTTTTTTTTTTTTTTTTTTTTTCCTCCGATAGCCTAGTGAGAAGATCGCACGCTATGGCGTTTGGTCCCTGCGTCGACGGCTAAATGTCCCAACAGGTGGGCTGAAATTTTGATGCCACACTCACAACGGCGGATTGTGTGATTTAAAGGTACAAGGAAAGCATACGAAAGAAGAAGAAAGAAAAGAAAAGTCTCAACAACGAACGAAAAAAATCGGCCTTGACCAGATTAATAGGCCGACCTGGTGGCGACGACCTGGGCAAATTTATAGCATGTCAACTTGGGTCGGCGAACGAGGTGTCGGATCCCGCTATGTGGGGATTGGGTCCAAGACCGTCGGAACAAAGGCTTGAACTGGTCTGAAGCCATCTCTACCAGGACCACGAATTCACGCTGAGAACATTGCCCATGGCTATATCCCGGGCATATAGTCTTCCAATTGAACAAGTCTTTCTTGGCGGCTTCAGTTTCGTAATCAAATTGCGTTTGCTCTTCTTATCTGATAGAGCGGTCTGACTAGATCGAATGGCATCTTCAATACCGATCTTACTTTGATGGAAAATCGACCGTCGGGGTATTCATGGCGCCAAATGCGGTTTCATAGATGAAATTCAGCCGTCAGCAGGTCGAAGATGCAAGGGGATCTGTAAAATCAGCTGCCGAATTGACATGTTGCGTTGCTTGGTGGCCTTGTACGTTCATTCAAGCTTAACCACTTGCCTGGTTAAAGAGGAATGGGACGGTTACATGATACCCTATACTCACAGCGTTCCTCTCCTCCTCGGACAATCTCGACGTGAATATAGTGAATGCGATTTGTCCGAATTTCGTATGAAAGGTAAGGATTATCCTGCTGTCTTATTGTACGTCATGGACAAGCACATCATTTCATCGCCTCAGTCTAGGAGCTGATCAAGGGAGACAAGAGAATTGGCAGAAGAAGAGCCTCAGCTTGTCTAGATTGATGTCATGAATGCCGATGCTTTACAATTGGCTTGTGAATAGCAACTGCTTGTCCTCTGGCGGTATCAATGAGTTGACTTGTCTGGCTCTAATGCTTGGTTTGGATGGCTGGAGGTGACTCAACATCGAGCGTGACTCACTTGCAAATCCTACAAAAAAAGAGACGATGAAGCAAGCCACAAACCTCATCTATATTGCAAAGTTGAACCATAGAATAGTAAATATAGCTGCACATGGGTTTCAGATCAACTAATTGCCGAAGCCCTTAACGAGTCTGCTTCTTGGAGTGTTGCGTAGGTTTACTGTTTAGTACATGCAGGCAGATGAAGCCCCGTTCTTGGCGGGTGCAAATCAAGGGATGGAGCTAAGATTCACACGCTTGAGCTCTTACTCACCCGCCAAATCTTCCTCTTTGGGTCACGCCACCAATGACTCCCCGCGCCACAACTTCAAGCCCCACCAAGACGCACAATTATCGCCAAAATTTCAAAGCACCACCATCTCCAACCTCGTCCTCGTGCTGGCCCATATTATAACCCCCCCTCCTCCCTGATTATTTCCTCAGCCTTCCAGCATCAGGATCACCAGCCAAAATGAGACCCATTCTTCTTGCCGGGCACGAGCGTGCTCTCACCCAGATCAAGTACGTCGCTGCCGAGGGAGAGAAGCAATTTCGACAGCTTCTTCTCTTCCCATCCTCCCAAGCCCCTCCTCTTCACGATACTACGACTCCCCTTATTTTTTCCAACCACCAATAGGAAGCCTCAGCTGACCAAAATTTGCTACGCATCAGATACAACCTCGACGGCGACCTCATCTTCTCTGTCGCAAAGGACCAGCAGATCTGCGTCTGGTTCTCTCACAATGGCGAGCGTCTAGGCACCTACCACGGCCACGTCGGTGCCATCTGGACCGTTGACGTCGACCCGACCTCCACCTACATCGCCTCTGGCTCAGCCGACAACACCATCCGCATGTGGGAGGTCAAGACCGGCAAGTGCCTCAAGACTTGGGAGTTCCCCACCGCCGTCAAGCGTGTCGAGTTCAACGAGGACGGTACCAAGCTGCTTGGTGTCACCGAGAAGCGTATGGGCTACCTCAGCAACATCGTCGTTATCGACATCAACCCGGATATCACCGCCGAGCAGACCGACGAGAAGTCCCTGACCATTGTCTGCGACGAGAGCAAGGCCACCGTTGCTGGCTGGAGCCAGGCCAGCAAGTACATCATCGCCGGCCACGAGGACGGCAGTGTCAGCCAGTACGACGCTAAGACCGGTGAACTGCTGGACAACGTCCCTATCCACGAGCTCGACAAGCCCATCGTCGACCTGCAGTGGTCACCCGACAGGACCTACTTCATCACTGCTTGCCGAGACAAGACCGCCAAGGTACAACCTCTTCCACATCCTCCCTTGACATGATGTTCAATGCTGACATGGTCACCAGCTCATCTCTGCTCGCGACCTCGCCACTCTCAAGACATACCCTGCAGACACTCCTCTCAACAGCGCCACAATCACCCCCAAGAAGGACTTTGTCATCCTCGGAGGTGGTCAGGCCGCCATGGAAGTCACCACCACTTCCGGTCGCCAGGGTAGATTCGAGGCTCGATTCTACCACAAGGTCTTCGAAGACGAGATTGGCCGTGTCCGTGGCCACTTCGGTCCTCTCAACACCGTTGCCGCTGACCCTACCGGCCGCTCCTACGCCTCTGGAGGTGAGGACGGTTACGTCCGTGTCCACCACTTCGACAAGGGCTACTTCGACTTCAACTACGAGGTTGAGAGGGAGCGACTGAACCGACTGCAGTAAACTCTCAGGAGAAGGAATGAAACCAAACCGAACCTCTTTTCCCTCTTTTTTTCCAGTTTTGGCCTAGAATTTGAAACCAAAAGAAAGCGAAAGGGAAGAGAAATATAGAGAAAGGAGACGGGGGAGAGAAAGGGAAAATGACCAGTCTGTGTTTTGATTATTGCGGACTGCTTGCTTGCTTGCTTGCATGCGTTACATATAGTACGGCGTTTTGGAAGGGCGGAAAGGGAAACAAACAAGTTCTTCTTGCGGGAAGGGAGAGGGGATATTCAAGGTGGGGGGGACGACTGATTCCCGTATGTAATCCATACTAGGTATCTCCTTGTGTTGTAGTAGAGAGAAGAAGAAAATATTGTGCCACTTCAAGATGACGAGTTTCACGTTTTATGGACAAGAATGGAGGAGTGAAAGCTGCACCTCTCGCTTCACGGCAAGCTCATCTATGAGTTTGAGGTGCAATCTAACTTTTTCTGTTCTGATATAACTACCTATATTCCATTTGCTAATTGTCTTTACCTTACTCAGGGACCTTTGTGAGGGAAACACTATCAGCATCAGAGCAATTGCACTTGAGAGCATCGCTCGTCGTGACTATGCGAATAGATAATGTGCATCACCATTCTCAGATCTCCGACGAGTTTTACTATGTCACTACAGAGGGCACAAGACTACAGCCTCACATAATCTCAAGTATGCATCCATTAGGTTTGGAACATCCATTCTAAACAGCGACAGAAAAGAAACAAGTATCTGGTATTATCCGTCGCTACCAAGGCTCTCGTGGTTTCGAGCCCACGGCCGAAAAATAACCAGCCGCTACCTCAGAATGCCAACCAAGGGCGTGTATAAAACTTTGTGATAAATCTCCACGCACGTAAAAACCCATTTGTCTCCCAGTCCAAAAACGCCTTTCCATGCCCTGCCAACGTGACAAGAAACATATACGTCCAGCATAATCGTACAGGTCCTCCAAGCCCAAAGTCAAAAAGTCATACAGGGGGCTATAGCGGCCGTCTTTTATAGCAACCGAAGTAGAAAAAAAGCATCACTTGGGCGATGCCTGGTATTCAGAGAAGTTTCTCATCCTTTGTTTGGTTTTTTCTTTTTTGTTTTAACCCTCCCATGACCTCCTTTTAACCAATAATTTCTTGATCCTGGACCATCTCTTCCTTGTTTTCCGTCTCCGGCTTAATCAGCTGCTCTTCAGCATTCTCATCCACAAATTTTCTCTCGCTGACATGCTCCTGTCCCTGGCCTGGTGTCCAGACCTTGTCCTTGAAGCCTCCTTGCTGGCCTTCCTCGTGGGCAAAGGGGCAGGTGGGATTTAGACAAGGGGTGTATTTGCACTTTGTCGTGACGTGTGTAAATTTGCAGTTGGGTGTAGAGCAGTCCGCACCGTTGCGGCAGAGAGGCATTGAGGGGTGCTTGAACGGGCATCGAGGGTTTTGACAGTTGGGGAAGAACTTGCAGTCCTGTTCGCTCTGGTGGGCAAGTCTTGCGGCTGGTGAGGGATGACGTCCGACGCATTTGCGGTTCTTGCAGGCGGCGCCGAAGCTGCAAACATCGTTGACATCGACAGAAACTCCGGGGGGCGCTGCTGGAGACTGATGCGCAAATTTGCAGTCCTTGTTGGTGCAGTGAAGGTTGTATTTGCAAACAGTCTCGTCTGGGTTCGGAGGCTCGCGCTTGCCTGCCATGTCAACATCCTCGCCTTCGGCACCCGTCTCCATGTTCGAGTCCTCTCCGTTTGCGTCAGCCTGACCCTGACCCTGGCCCCGGCGAAAGTTATTCTTGTGGCGAGGATCCTGGGTCCTCTCAAATAGAGACTTCCCTCGTCGCTGATTGCTAAAGCCCCGGTTTCCATTGTTCATCATCTGCTGAGACAGCTCCAACATCATTTGGCTCTGTTGTTCTAGCATGGCCATGACGTCCATCTGACTAGGTTGGCCCTGCATCCCCCATTGCGGGAACGCAGGTCCGCCAGCAACACCAGCCATTGCGCCGACCGGCATGCCTCGGTTGTTATTTTGATTCCGCATCATCCCGCCGCGACCGCCGCGTGGGCCAGTTGGGGGGGCACGCCCGTGTGTATCGATTCTTCCACTGCCCCCCTGTCCGCGAACTCGATGAAGCACGTTGTCATGTGATCGGTCCATAGCTTTAGACATTTGCCCAAACATTCGCTTATCCCGTCCTCCCCTAAGGTTGCCGTTGCCGTTGCGCATTGAGCGGGGACCGGTGGGCCTGCAAAAAAGCTCCAGTTAGCTCCAGCAACACCACAGATGAAGCATCACAGCTTCGACTGATGCAAACAAGAAGGGGAAAAGCTTACGCGTTCAGTTCATGTCCACCGTGAGAGCCCATATCAGTATCCATATCTCCACCTGCAGCATCGCCTGAGAAGTCGCCCATGGAGTCACCGCCGTTTCCTTGCCCGCCATGCGCGTTGAGCATGTGAACCTGGTCAAACAGCCATTTGGAGAATTCGTGAACGACAGGGTCGTCGAGCGGCAGATTTAGGAGATCTCCAGACAGCTCAGCAGCAATCTGATCTTGCGTCTTACCATTGACAAGCATCAGAATGATATACTCGGCGAGTGCGGAGTCATCGCTGCCTCCTGTGCCCCATCCAACCTCAACCAGCTTCGGCGGAATCGCAGCGTTGAGTGCGTCCGCCAGCGGAGTGCCAAGGCCAATCTCAATAGACATGGTGTCGAGGTAAGGATCGTTGTGTCTGGACGACCAGTGCGGAGGCTCTTTGCCCGTGTCCGGCTTCTGAGACGCGTTTATCTAGGCGGCAGGAGAGGATCGCGCGGCAGAGTGTTTCTCGATTGTGGCGCGCCTCCGGAAACAGGCGGATGAATGTGGAAATATCGCAAGACTTTGCGTAATCGCGAGGGAATGTTGTAATGGCGAGAATCGGCCTGGTCTGGCTCACATGTAGCAGATGAGGTTCACAAAGTTCTTCTTGACTGCTAGGCAACTCGAAAGAATGGGTCGAAATGATGTCACGTGACGCGATATCGCTGGTGGCGAAAAGGTTTGTCATCCGCTGTGTCTGTGGCTGAGCATGTCGAGGCCACGAGGCTCTAGTAGTTATAAAAGATAATTATAGAAGCTTTGATTTCATTGTGAATCACGTAGAAATTTCTGGTTTCCTGCGGCGGACTGTTCACTTTACCAGAGTTGGGCTTTGCGCGTGGCTGTTTCCGTTGTATCACATTATCGGGCTCTTCCCCTGAAAGAATGCACTCTCACGTGCCAACATGCGCCCTCTTCCAAGGCAGTGGGAGCCTGCGACTCTGCATTACTAAATTAGGTAGTCCATGGCAGCTTCAGCTTCTGTACTTGACGAAAATCATTGAATACAGATAAAGCAAAAGCCCGTGCTTCATTTCGGCATCATTGTGAAAGGTACTGCTTTGGGAGCATCATCTCCAAAGTACAACAATGAAACATCTATCTAGGTATCAACACAAGACGAGCGCTTCTTTGAGATATTCTTCCAAGAGAAATGGCATTGTCTTCTCCCCATCTTTTATAGATACGGTGACTAAAGATGTTCAACGCTTTGACAAAGGCTAAGATACTGGTACCTCTTGGTTGTCTCTGCGGAGCCAATACATCCAAGTACTGGGTACCTCGTATTGGGAATTGCCCCCTTCTAATTCGGCAATCTGGGGTTACGGCTCTCCCCACAGTCTCCAAGTCCGCGCAGACGGGCTCATCACGATCTACCTACTGTATATATACATGATTTGCAGCTGCTATTCTCGCTAGTGATTGCAACGATAGCTCCATTCGCCAATGCGTTGTTGTATTGTTTGGTCAGAATGGAAGCTCCCAAGCTCTCGGTGCTAAGCTCAGCCCATGCCCTGATGGATAGGTACTAGGTAGGTACTCTGGAGCAGCGTACTACCAAGTTGCAGATAGGCACATGCAGTATTAACTACATATCCATACAGCTGTGTTTTATCGATAGCTTGCCGGTTTGTGTCACAGAGGCGGGCATTAGTCTACAAATAATGAAACGCCAGCTAGTGCTTGCCACCTCTCATCTCGCAAGACATTCCAACTGCGGAACACAGGACTCTCCCATGCAGTAGTATGCCATACCGCATTAAGCTTCAAGGCCTACAAGACAGCATGTTAGAAGTACTTTTATCGCGTCTCCAAGCTCAGCCTGGTGGGGTGAGTGGATGTTTCCGGATAGCCTTCCAGATGAGAGATGATTCGAAATAAGTATATGCGCTTGGTCATGAGATATAGTAGTTACCAGGAATCCCTGGCGACAACTTCAAATGAGATTGGCCGTAGAAGCAAGCATTCATATCAGGCAGGCTTGCATCATGTATCATCGCGTTTAGCTTCTTGACGGCCTAGTGAAAGATTGGACATGAGGACCATCTAGACTCGACGCGATACCACGAGCCAGTGTTACATGCCGCTTCGCCGGAGATGCCCATGTCTGAGCAGCGCTATGGAGTGTAACCTAGCAAGATGGTCAAAGGGATGATTTGATATGGAGACTTGCGAATCAAGCATCGTCGGATAGCCACCCAAGTTTAGCGGCATGTCCTGCATACTACGCGCCACAGGAGGGGCTTGGAGAGGTGAGGTTACAATCATGCCAAGGGTACGGAGTACGGCCTGTTATTATTGTGTTGAGTTGCTGGAGGTAACGAGATAGTACATGGACTTAGTGCGAGTAGTGCTCTTTGCAAACAGGTACGTAATACAAGGGTCGGTGGGCCATAGTAGAGGTAGCAGTTCAGTGCTGCAGTAGCCAAGTTGTACTACCGCTTTATCACTCTAATCATTGCGCCTTTGTGTGGAAAGAGAGATTGATATCAAATCGTTACTGTAATGTAGCCGATGATATGGACCCTTTGTCCAACGTCGCTCTAGACAGGGGATATGATAGCTGTACTGTAAGTACGGGGCAACTCTGCTCCGCAAGGGCCGGGCTGCTAGTACTGGATCAACTGATAGATCCATTTTCATACAGTGCTCAGGGCCAATAATGTGAGTTGATGTTCTGTATTTAGCACTTATCTTGGTATTACTGGGTAATCTGCCAAGGGCACCATGCCAGCATAAGGTAGAGTACATTACCTGTACAAGTATGAGTACTCTTGTCCCAGGAAGCACCCTGAGCGATGGTACCTGTAATTTAACTCGATGCCCTAGCACGGTGGCGATAAAGATGGCCAGCACACAAGAGTCCGAATCGTCGCTGCAACTGGCAATGCAACACCATCCGTCAGCTTCACACAACCTAAGCAACAGCGGCCTCGACTTCAATTTCCGCCCTCGTCCAAGGCCCCGCAAAATAACCCGGCAAACCACCGAACAGCCCATGAACTGGCCATTGACAGATTCCTGATGCAGACTAACTCCTCATCAAATGGCGGCCCCCGGACTAACGCTTGTTCCGCTCCTGATTGGCTCGCGATAACGGCCCGTGGAGAGGCGTCCCCGCATGATGATCGCAATCAGGGATTCTCCAACCATTTGCCGTTACAACCACACAAAAGACCAAAAGAGGGCCCAGCAGCAGCTTTAGCAGCTCTAGCAGCTTTAGCGACCACAGACAAACAAAGTCCCGGGGCCGTTGCGGCATCCAGCGCCACTAGCTGTTTTCCCGGCCGGCGAAAAAGAGCGGCTTTGGCCTTTCTGCCCGCTCACGATGGCGACACGACTCTCGGCGGCATACAGTAACGGATCGAATGACCTCTGGATGCAACAGCACTGCAGCTTCAGCTCCTGGCCTCGATCGGTCCATCAGCTTCGACTGCTACTGTACTCCGTACAATGTACAAGATGGACCTGATTAAACGCTGGGCTTTGTCAGCAGCACTCTACTGATGCTGGGGCAAGGAGTGCCAGCCAGTGCCCTGATCTCTCGTCAGATCCCACCCCTGTCCAGATATCATTGTCTGTGTTTCAAGTTGCCAGCGGTATTCGGAGTACGGAGTATTTTGTACTTGCAGGGGTGTTGCAACTGCAACTATTTTGTCCGACTTGCCAATCTTAGCAGGCACCCGTTGCCAGATTGATGGACGGGTATGTACTTGTACTCGTACTCGCACTGACCCGACTTGAATTGATCAGCTTTCATCTTGATCGTCGCTGCGTTTCCTTTCTTTTTGCCATTGGCGTCTCTTGCCAAGCATTCTTTGATGCAAACAAAAGCAGTCTTAGCGAAGGAGATGCTCGCTGTTGGTTGCCGGGCGTGGGGTGCGTCCAATTAACACCACCAAAAAAAAAAGGTTGACTTAACGTAACGTTGCCCTCAAAAGTTACCCAAGTCAACTCGGCCCCCGGCAGAACGCCACAGCTTCACCATCAACAGGGAGGTCTCCTCCAAGCCGGGAGCACATGCCCAGCCTCAGCTTCTGTCCAGCAGCAAGTCTCCCTGCTGCCGACCTGCCGAGCCGCTGGGTTCTGGTCCGGACAAGCATCAGCTGCCTCTTACACGGGTGCCATGTAGCATTGGCCTCTGGATCATTGAATTTGACGTGCCAGTCGCGTGTCAAGGGTCGTGGTCCAGCCTAGCGCACAATGTTTCTGCTTTTTGGGGAGGGATGCCGATTTAGAGATCCGCACATCCCTTCAAAGAACCGTGCTGCCAGCCAGCTATTTAAATATTCGGTTGGCCCCCGTGTCTGAGAGAAGAAGCTGTGCTAGCAAGGCGGCATCTCCACCAAGAGTCGACTTGTTGCTGGTCTACGGAGCATATCAATTTTACTCGTAGTAGTGCTATTGCCATCGCTCATCATGCTTCCCAAGGCGATCCTCGCGATTGCCGCATTGGCTTTCAGCCCTGCAAATGCGCTGTGGCCCATTCCCCAGAAGATCTCGACCGGAGACAGCGTGCTCTTCATTGACCAGGCTGTCAAGGTGACTTACAATGGACAGCTGGTATGTCAATCCTTTGATGCCCATGGAGAGACCTCGAGAACTAAAGCTTTAACAATAGATCCTCCCTATCGGCTACACCCCACCCCCCAGCTCTCACTTTGACAGCAAGCAGATCGTCCAGGGCGCTGTCTCGCGTACTCTGCAATCCATTTTCCAAACCAACTATGTGCCGTGGAAGCTCCATCCGCGCAACAGCAACTTTGAGCCGAGGGTGGCCCCCCAGAACCGAATCCAGAGCATTGCAATCCAGCAGACTGGAAAGGATACTACCCAGACGTTCAAGCCGCGCGCTGGAGACGTTGATGAGTCGTACACTTTGACCGTATCCAAGAATGGACAGGTCAACATCAGTGCCAAGTCTTCTACCGGTGTGCTGCACGCCCTCGAGACCTTCTCGCAGCTCTTCTACAAGCACTCTGCTGGACCTTTCTACTACACCACCCAGGCACCCGTGTCCATCCAAGATGCGCCCAAATATCCCCACCGCGGTATCATGCTCGATCTCGCTCGTAACTATCAGACCATCGATGACATCAAGAGGACCATTGACGCCATGTCGTGGAACAAGCTTAACCGCCTGCACTTGCACATCACCGACTCTCAGTCATGGCCGCTGGTGATCCCCTCGCTGCCTAAGCTGTCCCAGGCCGGTGCCTACCACCCAAGCCTCGTCTACACTCCTTCGGACCTTGCTAGCATTTTCCAGTATGGTGTCAGCCGCGGTGTTGAGGTCATTACGGAAATTGACATGCCTGGCCATATCGGTGTCATCGAGCTTGCTTACAGCGATCTCATTGTTGCCTACGAACAGATGCCTTACCAGGACTACTGCGCCGAGCCACCGTGCGGTGCCTTCTCCATGAACAACACCAAGGTGTACAGCTTCCTGGACACCCTGTTCAACGATCTTCTGCCTCGCATCTCGCCCTACAGCTCCTACTTCCACACTGGTGGTGACGAGCTCAACGTCAACGACTCCGAGCTCGACCCCCGTATCAGGAGCAACGATACCGCTGTGCTACAGCCCCTGCTGCAAAAGTTCATCAACTTTGCTCACTCCAAAGTCCGTGCCGCGGGCCTGTCGCCATTTGTCTGGGAGGAGATGGTCACCACCTGGAACCTGACGCTTGGCAGCGACACCGTTGTCCAGTCGTGGTTGGGTGGCGATGCCGTCAAGAACCTGGCTGAGAGCGGCCACAAGGTCATTGACACCGACTACAACTTCTACGTAAGTTTGAATCTGGAAACTGGGATATAGTCTGGATGATGCTAACGAACTACCCATTTATAGTACTTGGACTGCGGCCGTGGTCAATGGGTCAACTTCCCTCCCGGAAACTCTTACACCACCTACTACCCATTCAACGACTGGTGCCAACCCACCAAGAACTGGAGGCTCATCTACTCTCACGACCCTGCAACGGGCGTGTCCGCATCCGCTGCCAAGAACATCCTGGGAGGAGAGGTTGCCGTGTGGAGCGAGATGATTGACGCCGCCAACCTGGACAACATCATCTGGCCCCGTGCCAGTGCCGCCGGTGAGGTTTGGTGGTCCGGCAATGCCGATCCTGCCACCGGCCAGCAACGCAGCCAGCTGGACGTTGTGCCGCGTTTGAACGAGTTCCGAGAGCGTCTGCTTGCCCGTGGTGTCAGCGCCATGCCCATCCAGATGACTTACTGCACTCAGCTCAACGCGACCGCTTGCACGCTGTTCACCTAAGGGGAGAGTCTGAAATAACTTTTTTTATTGGGCTGGGTTTTTTATTTTTCACGTATTATCGTTAAGTGTACAGTGGATAAAACAGGTATGGATTAAGAGAAGCCGGGAAGGGTATCCGGCTTAGAGGGGTACTTATTAACTGTATATAATTTGAATTCAACTACATAAATGTTATGGCAAACAACGTCCGGCAAGGTGCATTGTCCCTCTCTAAAATTACCTTGAACATGAAGTTATTCGTGCGGGAAGTTGACTTCTTAGCTTTGCTCATTACAGGCCTGGTACTACATGCCGTTTAAGTCCGTTTAATGTAGCACTCGTCTAGGTACTCGTCTTTTGAGATGTATCAATACACAGTATAAGATTGCAAGATAGATTTCCATCTTACCAGGAGACTGTTGGTAGGTACTAGAGTTTAATCATTAGGCACCTAGGTAGGTAGATTCAACTATATGAACAAGTAGCCAGGTAAAAAAGAAAAAAAGCACCCACTGACGTAGGAAGCTTCAATTTATCTACGGGATGCCGTCATATTTAGGTAGTAGATCATGCTTAATGATGCAAGATTTTACTAAATGTCCTCTTTATAAACTATATTGCACCCCTTAGAAGTCATTTAATACCCCATATTATCTCAGAAAAGCTAGGATATCCTAGTGAATCGTCAGCCGTATTTTGATCATATGCACCTGGTTCAGCTTGGTTATATAGCACACCATCCGTGATGAATCAGGACAGAGCAACGGCTGGTTCAGTGCCGACAATTAGATTCACCAATGTCGATGATTTAATCAGAGAAAAGTACTCCCAGCCAGGAAATATATTGCGAGTAACGAGTGTGCCTACCTGCATTCTATATTGCCTTTCCCATTTTTCTTACTAGTTTCTAGACGTGCCTTTCACGGACTTTAACAAAATAGATGAAAAGTACGAGTGGAACAAATCCACATCTCTCAATATTTCGAGTCTTCCCAGTGTATGCTGTTGACAATCCGCACGCAAGCCCACGAACAGCTTCATAGAGATCTGTGTTTCGATATCGCCCATCGGCTTAATGGTATGGGACTGGGTGACAGCTTTAATCTCACAGGAGGAGTGACCTGCTACAGTCAAGGATTCCATTCTTGCAGCGGCAACGGTAGCGCAGGAGGTGCAAGCTCGTCGATTTGGCCGTTAGGAGAACGAAATAGACGCTTTCCTACACTCATGATCGAGGCTGGATGCTCTTGGTCTTTAGTCAGCATGCGAGCCAAGGCAGAATGGTGGTTTCAGGTCTCGAACCACAATGTCAAGATTGTTCTCTTGGCAAAGTTTGACGAGAGTCAAAATACGGTAGTCCTGGAGAGGTGGCAAGAGAGACAGCGGGAACATGCAGGTGATGAAGAGGCAGAATGGGTGGCCTCCTGTCAACAGACAATTACCATCTCCGAGACTGAAGCAAACCCGCAGGTGTATCGAGTGACTGGTGGCGAGTTGGTATTGGATCTCAGACTGTTGCTTTTGAAGAGTCCGCCTCAGGGAGAGGAATATGTTGTTTTGACTGTTGAGTACTTACAGAGATATGCCCGACCACTGTTAGAGCGGAGATTATATGTGTCGCATTGATATTCTAGCTCGCAGTAGCTATGGGCATGTCGATGTCTGCTCTTGGTATGGCTACGCATATCTAGTAGACATATTTAATTCTATTTTGGATATCTATATCTAGCAGATGTATTTGGATCTAGTAGCGATATCCAGAGCTAGTAGCGATATCTATATCTACCTAGTAGACATATTTAGATTTGGCAGAGGTATTTACATCTAGTAGACATCGTTTACAAAGGTTAGAGTACTTTCACCTACTTCTCACCACTGGCAAATCTCTTCTCCCATAATGGTCAGTTGGGTTTCCATTTGGCGGGTCCGATACTAGCAACGAAGAAAAAAAGAAAGAAACAAAGAAACAAAGAAACAATGGCGTATCCCGCGCACGCCATCAAAGTATTGGCTTTTACTATGACAAAGGCATCACGTGCAGGGCTCTTGATGCCATTATATCAAGGCGTTTATATGTCTCCCACGATTCTTTCCACCTGGCAACCTCCATATATCTGAGCAATGGGCCAGTTTCTTTCTTGCATCTTGGGGCAATCGCCTCTGCCACCGCTTTTAAAGCTGCCGGTCGAGATCATTTTATTGATTGCGTATCAACTCTCTTCATCTCCCGAATCCCTCGTTGCGCTCTCGCTCACCTGCAAAACCCTGTCCTTCCTTTGTAATAGGGACGCCGTGAACCTCGGCGATGAGTCGCGGCGACATCTTTTGTTACTACTTGAGAAAGACCTCGGCAACAAGTTCTTCTACTGCCATGTCTGTCGCCAACTCCACCACTTTTCGCAGCAATGGGATAACCTAAATCCATGGGACTACAAGTGCTATGACTACCAGATCCTGAACACCTTTAGGCCGAGCTACTCATCCCTCTACCGACTGTACGTATCCTGTCGCCCGACGTCTCCGACCCCATTCACCTAATACAATAATAGGAGCTATATCCAAGCGCGTCTTATTATGAACCGTCACTTCTATGGCTCCCCGAAAGGGTTGCCTCTGGAAAGTATTCCCCATTCCGCTGTAGCTGCCAATGAGGATGGTAGGCCACCGTGGCAACAAACGATATCTGCAAGGATTGTTGGCGATGAACTATTCCTCTGTATCACGCATTCGCTCACAGGGAGAGCGGCTACATTACGGAATGTGATTGACAAGGGACAGTCTGGCATCTGCCAGCATTTAGCGTGGGGTCGTTTTCGCCGTATGCCGGAGTTGATGAAGCCGGAGGGAGATGGGTCAAACGAGTTGTCGCCTTTCCAAGCTTGTCACGAGGTGCCGGGATACTGCACTATGTGCCTGACTGACTACGTTATTACGGTTGAGCGTACTGAGGATCATGAGAGGATACGCAGTGGTACAGAGGTAGGCGCCAATGGCACTGTATGTAATATATGGAATCAACTAATTTGAAGATTAGGTTACATTAAAGCCCTTAATCAATGGCTGGTCTATCACATTGATTGCCTACCATCAAGTGGGACAGTGCCGAGACCCAGAGGACTGGAAATGGACGAGACTTAAAGAAACTCCAAGAATCACGTTATTCCCTCATGAAGAACATACACAACATCGGGATATGGCTCTTCATCCTCCTGGTGCAATAAAAGAAAAATGGCAAACAGGGGAGACCTAACTTGGTTCTCCTAAACAGCAGCTTTGCTTCTTCTACAGATTAATTATTGCGGGACAGGGTTTCGTCTTCTCCCTCTAGATACTGTGTATGTAAACCGTATAAATCATCTAATATTATCTTATTTAGTGCCGTTATATTTTAACAACTTATTAACAAACTAGAAATCGTCTTCCGGGATTTTACTCTGATACACTTCCCTTATTAATAGGGAGTGGCTATTCAGCACCCCAGGTTCGCTAATTAGCATCCCGTTCTCAAATTCAAAGCGGCCAGTGTAGTAGCAGAAAGTAGCGATAGCAGAAAGTAGCGAGAATAGTAGATACTCCAGGAACCGAGTGATGAAAAGGATCTTCCTCTGCGTTGTTACGGCATTCGGAACACTTTTTAATCGCTGGGGTGCTGGATAGCCAACTTGGAGTGCTGAATAGCCCTTCCCTATTAATACCATCCCCGAGTCTCCAATCTAGTCCTAAATTCACTTTCCCCAAACCATCTTGGCATAATCTTGCAAGTCGTCGGCGTGAATCACTACATCCCGCTCTCCTTCGCGCGGCTCCCTCAAACACAAGGGCTGAAAACTCAGCACCAAGTCACCAGATATCTGGTAGACTGACGGATTTTCACTGGTCTTGGTTATCGTAACTACCTGTTGGCAAGAGGGCACCCCTTCAGGTCCCCAGCGAGTTGTTGTAGCTCCTTCACGAGGCTCTCGTGGTATCTCTTCCCATTCTTCGATCGTTATCATATCTTGCCTCTGGTCATACTTTGCTAGCAGCACAAGCTTTACATCGTGGTTTGATATTTTAAACCACCACCTCGCCTTGGCCTGCATAATCGACAAAGGCCGACAACACCCAGACTCAACGACGAGAGTAGGAAATTCACCGGGGCCGCATCGTTGTGGCCGAGGTCCCCCAGATGATTCCGGCTCTCCACTGCTCCCTCCGCCACTATCATGGACGACGGTGCTATGTCCAGGCGCTTCGCCGGAAGAGAGACCCCCGTGGAAGTAAATCGTTGCTCCGATAGATGTCCAGCCGTGGCGGATTCCCATGTCCCTCAAGGCGTCCCAAACTCCGTCGTATAGCCATAGGTGAAGCCGTACGTGGGCTGCCGTATTTAAAGACACAAGAAGCCGCCGAGAGTCTTCGTCGTACCAGTTGTAGCGAAATTTGCGTCCACGGGCGGCTCGTTTCCGTTGGAGCATGCTGAATGCAGAGGGGGACACGCCTAGATATCAGGGGCAAGTTAGTATGCAAAAGTGCGTGGTAAAACGATAGGCTCGAACAACAACACACTCGTTACGAGCAGCGTATCTACTCTCCTCATGGAATCGAATTCGAAATATTTGGACTCGATGGAATCGATTTCTCGGAAGACTTGCTCCCCGCTGATAACGGATGACTGGCATAGCGGGCTCATCTCCTCCTTCTGGATGCACCGTCAAAGATGCCAAGTCCATGTTATCATTGGATATTCGCGGATGGGCGGGTTATACAGCTAGCCAAATTGCTTAAATATCTTGCCGCCGAATAGCAAATAATAGTATATACTTTAGGTAGTACCAAACCAACGAGTTAATAGGATTTACAGACGTCATTGGGCTTCACGGTGTGGCGTATCACTCCATCGATATACTTTCATGATTTCATAAACAAAAGATACATCCGAGACACAGCACTCCATCCAAGACAATACAATGCTACATGATGCTTCTAGTATCTGTGTGGGTATGTAACCTGTGTGTATAAGCCGTCCAACATCTTCCCACACACAATCTCATCTCTCTTCTCTCTCCCCCCTTTTCCAATAGAGCCCTCACCTATTAAAATGCCGTGCAACACCTAGAGCCACATTCAAGGACAAGAAAAAAACAAAGAAATCCCATGATCCTTAATTCATCCCAGCTGACCGAAAAGGAAAAAAAATCCCATACATGCTATACACTACGCAGGCCCAATGACGCTCGCGTCTCCCGATCCCGTCTTGACAGACCACAAATCTCGCGACCATCCCATCTCCCGCTGCCTCTTGCTGCCAGATCCAGACGGCCTCTTCTCTCCAGTGGCAATGGCCAGCGCCTTGCTGCAGGCGGCAAACGCCTCGACAAGCTCCGTCATGCGCTTAGCCTCTGTGAAGACTTCTTTCAGATCTGACTCACGCTCTGCCACCAAGGCGGCGAGCTCCATGCACTCTAATAGATTATCTCGTGACAAGCCGGTGCCTGCGAAATGGAGAGCGCTAATATACGCTAAGATGGTCTCTGGCAGGTAGGCAGCTCGAATATCCCGTAGCTCGGAATCACCGCCTATAAGAGTAGCCTAATTAGCAAATCATACATGAAAGACACATAAAACATCAAAGCCAACAACTTACTCTTGATCGCCGGCAGTAGCCATCCCTTCAGTAAGGGCCGCATGTAATCTTTGACGTTCTTGATTGCCTCACCCGCCGGACCCCAAAAGTCCCGATCTCCATGTGACAGCCTAAATCTCGTCAGCAAACCTCAGTCATATATCCCGCAGAACGGACAGTTACATACTCAGTTGAGATAAGCATCAAGGAGGCAATTGTCTCTAAGCCATCCAAAGCTTTGACGAGAGCTTCAAGCCCGCGGAATTTCCGTGCCTCGGCCTGTACCTTCTCAGGGGTCATGTTGGAGACTTCACTACGCTCCAGCAGCTTGGCCCAAAAATCGACATCCTCATACCAAATGTCGTCAGTCTCTTCCTGTCCCGAGATCCCCTGGATAATCTTCTCGAAGGAAATCCTCTCAAAGAGCCGTCGGGCAGCTCCGAGGCGTCCGGTACCTGTCAAACTGTTAGCCACGCAGTCCAAGACCTGAACCGCAACCGAGTTACATACGCAAGAAGAACTTGTAAACCTTTGTTCCCATAGAGAAGACATCGGCCCACTTTCCATCCACCATTAAGAGCCACTCCAAGGAACGGATAACATGATCATCACCGTTTTGCACGACGCCCTCCTCATAGCCAAAGAAGTCTGCTTTTATCAGCTTCCCAAACTGTGGTGTTGAAGGTCCGTCGCTGATGATGCTAAAGGCAGCCTGCTGAGAAGCCTTGCTGCCCAATGCCTCGTAAAAGAGTATCACCTGCCTGTCTACAAACTTCAGGACGTCGATGCCAGCCTTCTTTATCAACTTCAACTGCAATAAGCGCTGTTCGGGGTCCTCCTCGTGGATCAAGTTCCAGCTCAGAACGTCATATTGTCTTGGTGCCTCTAGTATTGAGCAATACAGGGGGATGAGCTCCTGCAGACCGGCACGACGCAAGTAATCCGTATACCCTGCCAAGATACTCTCCTGGGAAAACGTCAATTGGGGTGGTGGTGAAAAGTTGGAGACCTTCTTCTGGGCACCGCCGAATTTCTTCATCAGCGCTGTGAGGACATAGACGTGTGATACAATGCGAAGCCCATCATGTTGATCCAGGTTAAAATACTTCTTTTTCACAACAGAAGAGTTGATGGGCTCGGAAGAAGGCAGAAGGATAGATTTGCCATTTGCGTTCGCATCCGCAATCATGACGAGCCCTTGCTCGTACAAGTGGCGCTCAACATCCTTGGCAATAAACGCGGCTTGCAGAGCTTTACTAGGCTCCGTCGCCTCATCTTGGATTCTGGCTTGCGACTCGAGCGAGCGAACGAGGCGCTTTTCAACTCCCTGTGGCTTTCCCAAGAACTGAACAGCGTCGAAGGAGGGGAAATTCTGAGTCAATGTCGAGCTCACATCTGGTGGGCATCGGCTCAGGACGTAAGTGTCAAACTGGGTTCGTAAAAGGGCGTTGTAGTTGGCAAAGAGGAAGTCGTCCCATCTCCGGGCAATCTTCTCGACGCTGGTGATATCACCCGAGAGCAAACCATACACCGCACGCTCGTAATCATCTGAACCCCCCTGTCGAGCCAGGGCAAAGCACATCCGTCTCCAGAGAGCCAGAGACTCGGGCTTCAAGTCATCGGCCAGGGCAGTTTGGTCGTCTTCAGAGAGAAGCATGGCAGACATGGAAACAGCCCGCCACATTTCCGTTCGCTCTTGACACCACTCGCGCAGTTCTTCCAGGCTACTTCCACGGCGAAGATGTTCAAAACAACCAAGCCAAATGGCACGCTCAAAGTATTCGTCGGCAGGCTCAAGCTTTCGTCCCTGACGAGTGATGGCATCGGGATCCAACTGCGTAATCAGGGGAGCACCATCCTTGTTGACATGAGATTCCATGACTCTAGGCTGCTGGCGATCCAGCAATCCATTCCACGCCGTCAAATTCTTCCGCAGCTTAATCGTTGCTCGCGTGTGAAGCCAGCCATGCGCAATAATGTCCCCTCGGTCGGCCTGTTTCAGGAGATCTCGGGCCAGGTCGTCAATATCCGGGCCATCGGCCGCGTTGTTCTGAAGCCACTGAAGGACTGCATGGCGCTCCCGAGCTGTAGGATCAGAAAGGAGAAACTCTAGCAGCAAATCGGACTGCGTCGAGCTTGTGTCTAGTTCTATTGATGGCCGATCGTTTGCCTTTGATTCTGGCGTTGCGTAGCGTAGCGGTAGTAGTCGTCGAATAAGGTCCCAGGTCTGCACTTCTTTTTCCAGCTGCTTAAGCTCATCAGCTTCCCCAGAGAGGCCCTCTCCATCCGCTGTCTCCAACTCATCAGCATCCATATCTACATCCTCGTAACCGCTGCGAGCTCTCTTCGGCCGCGCCTGCTGCAGTCGTCGGACCGCATTTTCGTAGTACTTCCGAGGGAGGTCGAGGATTCGGGCTCGTTTGTCTTCTTGCGATAGGAATGGCGAGAGGCAGTTGTCAAGGGCGTTGGCAAATTCTTCCACCTCGGGGCCGACATTGAGGTCGAACGACAGCCCTTGCTCCATGTTGATTTCCGATTCGCGCACGCGCAGTGCTTATGGGGTGCTAAATAGGATGGATAGGGGGAAATACACGTCCAGGGCCCTGCGATTTATCGATCTCGCCGTCGAAAGGTCCCAACCGGACGAACCCAATAGAGTCTGGCTGGCGTCCAAGTGCCGAACTTTTAGGGCGTTGGCCTCGGCCGCATAACCCAGACGTAAGTCGCAATTGATATTCCAGTGGAAGGTTGATGTCGTAGCAATAATCGAGATGCTCCTCGTCGGCTGAAAGACTTCGCTATGTTGCCTGGCGAGATCGTGGGTTTGCCAGCGCAGAAATTCAGCACCTCAATATTTTGTTGCTTCAAGGCGCGCTTGAGCTTGCACACGAACGGCTTCTGGACGCTAAAGGCTGCGCTAGACTCTGATAGGTCTTTGGTTGAGTGTACATAGCATACAGGCTTCTGAGACGCCTGGACGGAAGTACTCTCCACTAGCCACTTAAATTCACGGGCAGGGTCCAAGGTGGAACTTTTACGGCATACTGCAATATGCATCAAAACGGGGCTCAGTGCGCTCGTGAATTCGACTACTACTGCAAATTTTTGTCACGCTCTTTTTTTCTTTTTCTCTTTTCTTCTTCATCATAATGTCATCGGCATTCGTATTAGAGTCTCGGAATAAGCGTTCAATGCTTGTTCAGGTCCTATAAGGGTCTCCTGCGTGCTCAACGATCGCCTAGAAAAATCGCTCCTCATTAAGTTGCCTGAAATTCTCTACACTGGTTGACACACCATACGATGAGCGTACATATCTTCTCCTCGCCTCCCCTGCCTTTGATATGGTACATGTACAATCTATCTAGGTATCTCGTAGGCCGTTGCACGTGTCTAAATGCGCTGAAGAAGCACCCTGTAGTCGCGAAGCTGGCGCGCTCTTTGCCCTACTGCGTCTTCATTTGCCCTCTTTCTGCTGCTGAATCTTCAAACGAAGTAATTTCGGCGCTGGACAGCTGGGAGAGGTGGCGTCATCGCCGTAACGCTGGTAGAAGGCGTCACAGCATTCGTACAACGCTTTGATGGCATTCTGGCAGCGAGCCTCGTTGTAATTGTTCTTGGAGAGACAATCTGGGGTTATTTCAGCTCTCTCGTCCTCTTTTTGTGTGTATATCCATTTGTGGTGTGTTTTGCCTACCCTGGATGGCACACTGCGAATGAGAGTAAAGTCCCTCTTGTCAGCTCCCAAGTGTTCAGATTAACACCTATTGCGAGAACTTACTGCTCGTGGATGACACGGCGGACGCGCCTCAACGTCGTCTTTGGGAGATGGCTGCAGTACCGGTGTTTGCGATCAGCTGTTGAAATGATACATGCTGGCAAATACTGATGCCAAAGCGGTGGGATTTTCAAAACAAACCATTACTGGATAAGGACCAATAGGCCAAAAATATTCTCGAATTCGGACAACAAATGGATGACGAGTTCTCAATGGCAAAATAAAATATCGCTACTTTCCGATTGATGCAAAAAGAAGCCCAAGTCCCGAATTAATCATCCATCCCAAGCGAGTTCAAGACGGGCAAGTTTCTTGTCACTGATGTCATCCGCAGCCGTGAACTTTTTAGCGCCAGCATGCAGTCACTTAGGCGCCTGAACACCGCTCCAACAGCGCTAAAGCCTCAGCGCTCCAGCGTGCGCACAATCACTCAAGCTCAGCGGCGCAAGATACTGTACCTGCTGCCTGTACCTTTTTCAGATGCCTCAGCCGCCCAATCAGACGCCTCGCTCCCCACTTCTTCCCAAGATACGCTGCTTAAACATCAGGCCGCCTCATCGCCTTGCCGTCACATCACTTTTCGCCCAGCCTAAACCTTCCTTTTACTTCTTCCACATACACCCTCACGAAACGCAAAACAAAGAAATCAAAATCGCGAAGCCCTAAAACCGCATCTCTAAAAAGACACAAACGCGCACGCGCAAAACCACACAGCAACCATGTCCGAAAACGACAACAACCAGTCCCCCGCCGATCGTCAGGACCCTCCTCCTAACACCGAGCACCTCAACATCAAAGTCACCGACAACAACAACGAGGTTTTCTTCAAAATCAAGCGCAGCACCAAGCTCGAGAAGCTTATGACGGCCTTTTGCGAGCGTCAGGGAAAGTCGCTTAACTCGGTGCGCTTCCTGTTCGACGGCACGCGAGTCCAGCCAACGGATACCCCGGACGCGGTATGCTTTGTTTCCCCTCCTACCCCCCCTCCAGTCTTTTCCATTGTTCTTCCGTGTTTTTCTAGTGTTACTAACGTGTTGATTTGCTTGTTTCCACGCGTTAGCTCGAGATGGCAGATGGCGACACTCTCGAAGTGCATCAAGAACAGGTCGGAGGGCGCTTGCTCGGATGACGCCACAACGACCAAGGGCAGACAAAGAAGATGATGATACCGAGTCGGAGAGGAGAGAAACAGAAGGTAGAAGAGAGAGACATGTGCGTCTGAGCTGGGTAATTAGGGTCGCATTCTATCCCACACACTATCTACCGTGGTTTGTGTAATACATTAGAGCAGAGAGAGAGAGCCGGAGTCAGAGTCAGAGAGGGAACCCGCTATTTTACGACACTCGATACAAGGGCTAAAAAGCACCTTTTTACGCCCTCCCATCCTTTCTTGCCTTCTTTCTCTCTTCCATAAATACGGCAGCGGCGAATCGGTTCGGAAAGGTGGAAAATGGTTTTTTTTTTACACGAGGTCAAAGTGCAATTACAGCCGTAAGCTGGTTTTACCTAGTTCACCATTATCCCAAATGCTTTGCTACCCATCCTAGTGCTGTCCTCCCTTTGAGTTAAAAAGAAAAACGCCTTGTTCACAATGAAATACGCAAAAAAATCCGTTAATGGCATCGTCGCATGATTTTTAGAATTTGAGTTCCCTGGACCGGCATTTGGTGCAGAGTATAATTGCGCCTGTCGCAGTCTCTTTGGGGAAAATCTGCCCATCGTCGAACCCTCCCTTGCACTCATGGCAGCGGAAGCAGTGCTCGTGCCACTCGCCCCCCAGCGCCTTGATATATTGGCCGATGACGGCTGTCTTGCACATCTTGCACTTGGGCGCACGCCGTTCTGTTCGCTTTGTCTGGCAGTTGATGCACCAAGCGTAGCCGTCCTTCTCAATGTGCGTCATGCCATGCTCAAACGGATCGCCACACTCGGCACAGAAAAAATGTCCGTAATGCCAGTGCGCCCCAAGAGCGACAATATGCTCCCCAAGGATGGGAGTCGTGCAGTGCTTGCAGCGTGGAGCAAAGAGTTCGTGCCAGTCGAGATGGCAATAGAAGCGGAGGCGCTCGTCTCCATCTTCCGCCATAGTCATGCCGGGTTTCTCATCCAATATCTCACCCGCTGCGCGGCGCCGAATCCTCTCTAGACGCTCAGCCCGTGATGCTTCTGGTTCTGGACTGATCTCCATGGCTTCAAGTCTGGTGCCGCAAGTGTAGCAGCGGAAACAGTGAGGGTGGAAGCGCTCAGGGGACCCGGCCAGTGCCACAAACTTTCCCTCAATGGGACGCTCGCATTGGTTACAGACCGTTCCTGCTGGCCTAACAGCACTTGGGGCTGGTGACCAGTGGCCTCGAGGTTGCGGTAGATCGCGCGTGCCCTGAGGCCGAGCCCCTGGTGTTGGGAGGGGACGCGAGCCTCTCACCGAGCCTCTCACAGGCGAGTCCCTCGGGGTTGAAATGCTGGGAATGCTGCGGCGACCCGGCGCTTCATCGACTGAAATGGACGGGACGTTGATTGCGGGCGTCGGCCTCTTTGGGGCTTCGTCCGGTTCCGCTATCGAGATGGACGGCACACTCGCACTCGTCTGCGCCCGTGGCCTCGGCGAAGGGTCTTCCGCCACAACAATGCTAGGGATCTCCATAGGCCGTGATGGTGTTTGGGGCTGGGATTGAGTTTGGGACTGGGACCGGTAGCGGTTTGATGCTGGGGTTGTCGGGTCTGGTCGGCCTGAGCTGGCATCAGTGGACGAGGACTCCTCCGGGGCTTTCCAGTTCGTATCGAAGCTTACAATGGGCCTTCCAGGGCTGTCGCTGACTGCAGTAGGTTCCGGGAGTTTAGAACTGCGGTCTTTCAGCCTCATGCTAGTAGCTTCACGGATATCCTGACTGCGAATCTCGACTCCATTCAGATGCTGCCCATCGGGGGGCTGCTGACTGTTGGAAACGGGAGTATTGACTTGATATTGGGCGTTGCGGGATCGAGTCGGAGGGTTCCTGTGAATTTCTATCCGATCCAATCGCTTGGTTGGGCTTGTCTCTCCTTGATTGCGCGGGAAGGGGACACGACCGATAGCATTGGACGGCTTGGGATTCAGTGAAACGGGCGAATCACCGCTGGGAGGGGTCGTTGTCGTGGGTCCCTCGCCCGACTGGGCTTCGGGCTCTTCCCATATCTGATCGCCAGAGAAGGGCCGTTCGACTTCTCCACTGATATTCCTCTTCATGCTGCTGCGTCGACCGCCCGTGAACCGCCCGCCGACATTTCCATACGACTTTGCCTTGTTCGCTGGTGACTCGTCGGCACGTGCCTTTGATTCGGGGGATCCGGTTTGTCGAGAGCCGTTTTCTTCTTCCGACGAACTAGTCGAGTATGAGTTCCTATTCAATTTGTTCGTGCCGATTGACTCTTCTCCCTTCCCCACAGTAGCTGCCCGGGCATGTGCGTAGCTGTCCTTTCTAAGGTGCGGTCGGTACCGGTATGCACCCTCGGGTGGCCGGGGTTTGACTCCATGCTGGTGTTCCCATACAAGCTCAGCGGCTTCGTTGAGAGCAGCGTTGTAAATGCGAGTCTCGTCGTCTTCGACAGCAGGATCCGCATCAGGAGAAACCTTTCTGCTCTCCCGGAGATCCATTTCTTCCATAGCATCTCGCAGAGATGATGCCTCCTCTCTTTCCATCCATCGCCGGCCTCGCTCCATATAGCTAGCCGTAGGCACAACGGTATCGGGCTTCACCGGAGGCGGTGTTGGGCTGGTGGGATAGTAGTCGCGGCTTCGGGAGCTAATGGTGGAAAGGCGAGTCGATGCCATACTTCCGGCAATGAGGCTGGGCGTGTGCGACTGAGATCGCTGGTGGCCAAGATGATGGGCGGTATCTTGTGATGTCGTCGACGCATCGTAGCTAATGTTACTGAGACTGTTTCGGTTTACCTGCGGACGGTTGCTGGGAGGCGGCGGCCTGGCACCACCGGGCCTCACCACGGGCTTGCTTCGAAGGTTTGCGAGGTAGCTTGCTGCTCACGAGAGTTGTAGATTAGCAACCAGCCTGATCCATCGGTCAATCCACCCGGTGCATCGTACCGAACTCGTCCTTCGTCATGTAGGATGGCGACGGCGGCGACGCCCTCCGCGACCTGACCTCGCCAGATTGCCTCATGTTGCTTTCCTTGAACGCGGATCGTAACGAAATGAAGGCAAACGGCCGGCCTCAGAGGGGCGGTACGACGGCTTTATGTGTGCCGCCGACGTGTTCTGAGGTACCGGAGGCTGCTGGCGGTGACGGGAAGCTAATTAGAGAGGTCGCATGCGAGGCGTGACGTTTTGTATGCAAACCTTACAGGTATGTGCTCGTACTGCGTAAATGTAGTTGTGCAAGTCATCATGGGAGTGGGGGTTGACGGGGCAACCCCTTGGCATGTTCCGAGACACCCCAGAACTAGGCCTATAGCCTTTGCCGTAGCAGTGCGTAGCGCTGGCCAGTAGCGCTGTGTGCCTGTAACCTGCACCGCTAGCCGGCACAGCTCAGCTGCTAGTATAGCGCCACCCAAGTTCTGCGTTGGCACCCGCACCCATCCTTTATTGATGGTTGAGCATAGAGCATAAAGCATAAAGCATAAAACAGACTTGACCTGTAAGGCGCAACCTTGTCGAGACTTGGTTAAGGGAGAGAAGAGATTTGCTAGCAGGGGGGACGCTATGATACAGCGGGCTTGGAAAGTTCCAGATCGCTGCCAGAATATGTACAAGTACTGATACGGTTGGGCAATGTCACCACAGGAACGACCAATAGCTTCAAGCTTCCTCCCCCCCTTTGCACCTCCGTGCCTGTGCTTGTACCTTGCGACTAGGGACGCCTGTCTGACTATGGGGATGCCCACTCGCCTTACTACCACCGGAGTTCGCCTTTGACGCCCTTTTCCGGCTCTGCTGGGGCTTTAGCCAGCGCAGGCTCTGCAAAGCCGAGATTCTTGAACTCGTCCCGAGCCATCAGATTTCTTAATTTTGCCGATACGTTAGCCCATGGCAATGTCTTACTATTCTGTTCTTCCTTTTTTACCTGTCCATTCTGCATGACAGATATGCCTTGGCCAAGTTGCGGCATTCGTCTTCGTTGACGCCACGGACTTTCTTCATGCAAGCAAGGTAGCTGGTCATGGCCTTCTTGCACTCGCCTAGTCCAGTTAGACAATTGAGCCATCCAGGAGAGGCGGGAAACTGGACTGAACCAGAACCATTGCGGCGGGCTTACCATCGTGGTCCAAGGGGAAGCTCCCTCGCTGTGGCCTATGGAGACGGCGGGTCAGCCAACTCCTGAGCTTCAAATCAACGGCGAGAGAACACGTACGGGGTTGGCTTGGTTGTTGGCAGAGCCCCAGGGCTGCCGAATGTACTCATTTCTCCAGGTGCCGCACCAGGGGCATATCCCTTTTTTTCGCTGGTGTCTTTTTTCGAGATGAGACTTGAAGGCACGGCTGTCTCGCATGATGGTTGTCGAAAGCGGTGGGGCCGGGCCCCGATAGAGCGGCACGTATTGCTTAGCTAAACGTTTGGGCAGCTTGGGGCAAATCAGGTTGCATAGCCGCATACAAGCATTTATCGCCTTGGCCGCATTGGGAAAACAACATCCGAGCGACGGAGTATATGCGCCGTTGGATGGATGAGTCTGACCAGGCGCTTTGTTCTTCTTTGTTCTGCTCTGCTCTGCTCTACTTTGCATGTATTATGGGATGGCACAATGGCTCCGCAGCAGCAGGATCATGACAACTGCCAGGTCGACAAAAGCCAATCACTGACTGTCATGGGAGCAGCTTATACGGTGTGGAAGCAGATTCTTCTCCCTTGCATTGCTTGCAGGGCTCCCTCTGGGTCTTGGAACGGACCATTCGCGTTGTGACACACTGCAAGCCAGCTCAACCGCTAGCTGCATCAGTCGTGTTCTTTCGTCGACGAGGTATCCACAGGCGCCCAACCAGAGACAGCTTCCAAGCAGGCGACGATTGGCTGGCTCGAAAGGGCCGTTTGTCGCAGTATCGGGTCGTAAAGCATCGTCGGGTTGGCGAAGAGACACTCCGTTGTCGGCCGCCGATGTGAATGAGAGCAATCAATGTTCTTGGGTAACACAATCAGGTGAGCGGCGTTGTGCGCAGTATGACATCTTGTCTTGTCTGGGAGGCGGCTTTCACACGCAAGCTGAAGTTGAAGCATTAGCCGAGAGCTAATCCAGGATCATGGTTCGATGCTCTAATCAAGTCGTCATGCCGATTCTGTGCTGCTTGGAACCATCAATAGCTCTTCCAAGGAGCGCGCTAGAGCTGATTATGACCTGTAGCGGGTTAGTAGCTCGTCCTTATATATTACGGATGATACCGGCTCTAGGTAACGAAGATGACGGACGAGATATCTGGCGCTCTGCCGTATCTACTCCGGACTTGTATATACTGGAATGTCAAGAGGAGGCACCTAATTGATCCGGCTTAAATATCTAGGTAGAGAGACGAAGGAAGTCAGAGAATAGCCCTAATCGCCCCCGTTTACTCAACAAGACACAATGGATAAACTAAAAATGCAATCATATTCCTGCAGCATCATGCCAGCCCACCTGCTGTATGGCAGCCCATCTCTCACATACCGTCTCCAGTTAGGCTTCTGCCCATGCCTTGCCCTCAGCCGTTTATCTCATAGATATCTGGAGAAATGGGGGGCGATTAAACAAAGGGAGGCTGAGGTTCTCGGTACTGCCAACATGCCGCGGCTCTTCATACAACTCCCGCGTACCCGGTACCTGTGGCGTTGAGCGGCAAGCAATCCATTAACCGGCCCCACCCTTTACACGTGAACGAAACGGTACGTACTCGATTCGTTGCTAAACTGCCCAAGAAGCCATTGTTTCGGCTTGCTTCTCTTCTCGATCGCCAGAAAAGCCCAGCGCAAGTCGTCGCGTTGCGTGTGCGTGCATGAATCCTTTGGTCGGAGGCATCTCTGCTGCTCTGTCAACCCGGTAATTGCATTTAATTGGCTGCTGCGACTGCGATACACCGGCCGAGTCGAAAAAAAGAACCTACAGGAAAAAAAAAGGCTCCCAAGACGCTGCAATGGCGGCCCTCGGCGAAGATCTGCTCACCACGGTCAACAAGCTGCAGGACCTGGTGTTCAACACCATTGGCAGCGATTCTCTCGATCTCCCCCAAATTGTGCGTGGTGCAAATCCGCCTCCCCTTGTCCTCGCTTGATGCTAATGCCCCGCCGCTCAGGTTGTCGTGGGATCCCAGTCCGCCGGAAAATCTTCCGTTCTCGAGAACATCGTCGGCCGAGACTTTTTGCCCCGAGGCAGCGGCATCGTGACCCGGCGGCCGCTGATCCTGCAGCTCATCAACATCCCAGAAGACGAGACTGTGCCAGATCCGTACAACGATCCTTACCGGTCGCCTGGTGCTGCGCGGCGCTCAGAATGGGCCGAGTTCCACCACATCCCCAATAGACGGTTCAACGACTTCATAGATGTCAAGCGGGAGATTGAAAATGAGACGGCCCGAGTTGCTGGTACCAACAAGGGCATCAATAGACAGCCCATAAACCTCAAGATTTACTCACCGCATGTCCTCAACCTGACGCTAGTCGATCTTCCCGGTTTGACCAAGGTTCGTCTCTACCTCTTTCCATCTGCCTTTCCCTTTGGCTAATCGGGCTTGAATCATGCATAGGTACCCATTGGCGACCAGCCTTCTGATATCGAGAAGCAAACAAGGAACCTGATATCCGAGTACATCGCCAAACCAAACAGTATTGTTCTGGCTGTGTCACCGGCTAATGTCGACCTTGTCAACTCGGAAGCCTTGAAGCTTGCCCGGCATGTGGATCCTCTTGGCAGGAGGACTATCGGCGTTCTCACCAAGATCGACTTGATGGACCACGGCACCAATGCCCTCGACATCCTGTCCGGCCGTGTGTACCCTTTGAAGCTTGGCTTCATTGGCGTCGTGAACCGCTCGCAGCAGGATATCCAGGGCAACAAGCCCATGGAGGATGCTCTCAAAGCCGAGATGGACTTCTTCAAGCACCACCCGGCTTACCGCAACATCTCAAGCCGATGCGGTACACAATTTCTGGCCAAGACGCTTAACACGACTCTCATGGCCCACATTCGAGAGCGGTTGCCCGACATCAAGGCACGTCTTAACACTTTGATGGGCCAGACGCAGCAGGAACTCGCCGGCTATGGCGACATGCACTTCAGCGGAAAGGAGCACCGCGGCTCATTGATTCTGCAGCTCATGACACGATTCGCGACCTCCTTCATCTCCTCCATTGACGGTACATCCACTGAAATCTCGACCAAGGAGCTTTGCGGTGGTGCTCGCATCTACTACATCTTTAACTCTGTTTTTGGAAGCTCACTAGATACAATCGATCCTACTTCAAATCTGTCAGCATTGGATATTAGAACGGCGATTCGCAACTCCACTGGTCCTAGGCCCAGCTTGTTCGTGCCCGAGATGGCTTTTGATCTTCTTGTGAAGCCCCAAATCAAGCTTTTGGAGATTCCCAGCCAGCGCTGCGTCGAACTTGTCTATGAAGAACTCATCAAGATTTGCCATACATGCGGCTCAATAGAACTTTCCAGATTCCCAAGGCTCCAAGCAAAGCTCATCGAGGTGGTATCGGATCTCCTGCGAGAGCGGTTAGGTCCCGCCTCAAACTATGTCGAGTCCCTCATTTCCATTCAGCGCGCATACATCAACACGAACCACCCCAACTTCTTGGGCGCCGCGGCAGCAATGAGCAATGTCGTCAGCGCCAAACAGGAGCGCGAGCGTAAGAGGGTCATCCAGGAGGAGCGCGAGCGCCGGGAGAAGCGCCGGATCAAGGAGCTCGGGCCCAACGGCACGGAGCCACAAGAAGATGGTGAGGAGAGCCCAGTTGCGGAGCGAGCGGAGCGGGCAGAGCCCAACCTTCGCAAACTCGCCACGTCAAAGCCTTCACGAAGCATGTCGCCTGCCGTCCACCAGGACGCCATGGTCGGCCTTGGCGCATCCATGAATGGAATCCGCCCATCGTCTCCGGGTATGAACGGACAAGGAATTGGCGGTGCCCGCGACACATTCTTGAACTACTTCTTCGGCAAGGATGGCATGGCACCAGTCAGTGCCCCTATTACTCCCACCACCAATGGCAGACATACTAGCCACCCCTCTGAGCCCACCTTCTCGCAGAGTCTCCGCCGTGAAGAGAAGCTGCCGATCCGCACCGCTACCGCTCCCCCCTCCGTGACAGACGAGTATGACCCATCATCCCGAAGTTACGGCCTGGCATCACATCTGGTAAGCCTTGATACCCTACTTCCTCTACCACATACGCTATTTTCCCCTCTCTTGACTAACTCAAACCCTCTCTTCCAGGGCGAATCTAATGAACCCGCCATGACCGAGCGCGAAGCCATGGAAGCAGAGCTCATCCGCGCCCTCATTTCCTCCTACTTCAACATCGTCCGCGAATCCATCGCCGACCAGGTCCCCAAGGCCATCATGCACCTCCTCGTCAATCACTGCAAGGATGTTGTTCAGAACCGCCTCGTCAGCGAGCTCTACAAGGAGAATCTCTTCGAGGAGCTCCTCTACGAGGACGACGGCGTCAAGAAGGAGCGTGAAAAGTGCGAGAAGCTCCTCCAGACGTACCGCGAGGCGGCAAAGATTATCGGCGAGGTTCTGTAAACGGGAAAACTCGTCCCAGGTGCCTTTTTCTTCGTCTTGTTCTCTCTTTTTTTTTTTTAATACTCTCCCCTCCCTTCTACGGTGATCTGGGAATCCGTCTTGAAGAGAAGGAAAAAGAAGTAGAAGATAACATTTAAAGGAAAAAAAAAAGGAATTGGGAGGTCAAATGTCTGTATAAAAAGCGGTAGGTTTTCGAAACACGAAAAAAGGCGATCAATGAGGCGTCCATGGGGTTTTTAACGAAGGCAAACGGATGGGGAGGCGGTTGGAAGTGGAAAAAAAGAAAAAAGAGGAATAAGGAAACACGCCTGTTCAGAGGAGGGATGAGAGTGTGTGATGTCAAAATGAGGGATCATTTTGAATTGTAAACAACTGTACATGATGCAATGGAAGGAGAGGAAATGGGCTGAAAGGCAAGAGGACTCATTTCCGTGACCATGGCTGCAAGCGATTCTCATATTTCTACAATTACACCGCTCGACCTTGTCATGACTCCAACGATGGGAAATATACTTGTCTTGAATGTGTGGCCGTGTTGAACATGAGCCTAACTATGCAGTTATTACTTTATACATGCGTGCTACTACTTTCATTTCGTCAAGGTAGCCTTTGTCCCAATAAGATGCCGTAAAACGCCCATACCCCCTGTTCAGAAGGAGAAGAAAAAAAGAAAGAAATGCTCATGCGAAAGCTCTAGTCTATATCTATGCCATTCCAACCCCTCGACCTTACATTGGCCAACGGCCGCGTGAGTCATAAGCGCTATACACCCGTGATGCGGATGCAGTATTATTGTGCGATTCCCTGTTGGTATAGTTGGAATAATTCGCATTAGAGGGAAATCGATAGTCGTGTAAAATGGTTGATTGCTCCATGTACCGGTCGTTCGGTAAACTCCGCATGTCAAAGATGTCATAGGACCGGTAGAGGGCCGTGGAAGGCATCGGCTGTCGGTAACCACTGACGTAGGATTGACGACTGGTGTGTCTGGTCTCGACTTCTGCGAGCCTCCGTTCTCTTTGGGATTCCATGACTGGATACGGTGCTTCTATCATATGGGGGACATGCTCGCGGCGCAGGTAATATGATTCCAAGTGTCTCCTTGGCTCTGGCACATCATGATGTCTTGAGCCGACACTTGAGCTGAGATGTGCTGGCCCCCAGGTTGGATTCCACTCACCAGGTTCTCTGACGATATATTGTGTTGTCATCCTGTCCAGTGCTTCGCGGCTCTCAAATCTTGGCTGCTCATCCGTCCTATGTGATCCAGAGTAGACAAGCTCTTTATCCGAGTAAGGATGCATTATTTGTGCGGGCGCCATGTCGGCTGCTGCTTTCTCTTCCGCTCTAAAAGGGGGCACTTCAGGCCATTCTGCTCTCCATATCATAGCCTTCATCTTCTTGGAGCCGTGTTTCATAGCGTAGTGTTGCATGACAGCCTGGAATCCGTAACTCTTGCTCTTGGAGGATTTGGGGCATTCTCTGCAAAAAAGGAAGTCCTGCTGGAGACAGTTGGTGTGCGGTCCAATTTTCTGCTCAAATATCCATCTCATGTCGTCTAGAGTCAACCTTCGAGTCAAGAAAACGGCGCCTTTATAGAACTGCGTGCGGACGTAGGTCAACACTTCTGTCACGAAGTCTGCACAGTTTCCCTTAATGCTGTGCCCCTTAAGCCACTGGCTTATGACCTCGTCTGCCAGACTGGAGACATGAAGCCGGACAGCTGTCTCAATATCCTGCCGTGGCTTCTGGAGGGGTTTAGTGGTGTCTGGGCCCTTTCTCTCTACCCGCTCCGCTTTGTTAGCAGTAGGTCTTGGCTGGCTTGAATATATGCGCATTTGGCGGACTCCTCCCATTTGGAACCACTTATCCCACCGGGAAGTGTCACGAACTGCTTCAGTACCTCGGACGTCCAAGCCCTTTATCCACTCCTCAGTGGCTGCAATGCCAAATCGCTTGACTTCTTTAAGTTCTTCTTGAAGTCTGTCCACTTGGGCAGGCCAGTATACTTTTGTCAACCGGACAGTAGGAGGTACTGGGGTGCTCCGCATTGCTTGAGGGGAGATTACATTCGCGTCAGGCGTCAGAAAGACCATGGGGAGTCCTGGTGAGATGAACGAAGGGCTGGATGTTGATAATAGCAAGTCGACTTCCTATAAAAGCTTGTCAGCAACGAGATAGTCTTCAACAAGTTCAACAAGAGCCATCGGGATTTAGCACAAAGCAGCACTCACCTGGACGCTTGTTTCAGTCAAACAATTCCCGCACGAATTGACGAAGAAAGAAAATATCGGTGATACAGTGGTATTGCCAGGTCCGCAGCGGCGTAAGGAATCCTCCGGGGTAGTATAGTTTGTATCCAGCAGGCCACAGAGTTGACAGGACCGGGTACAGGCAAATCGCCACATATCCAATTCGAACTTCCCCTTGAGCGGTGCGGGCATAGTTGGCCAGTGAAGACATCTTGATGCCCGCCATATAGCGTCCGGGGACAGTGTAGGCAATATACGAGTTGTAGGCACGTGGGTCACAGTAGAGATGATGAAGGGGGACGCAGGGTCAAGGTATTTGTGAAATAACTGGTTGACACGCAGCAAGCGCCCAAGAGTGTTAGGAGGGAGAAAAGAAAAGACACGGTGCCAAAGCTCCGCTGGGAGCTGCCGCGACCTGTCGCGACGGGGAGGCTCTGCAGGGCCAAAAACAACACTGTCCTGGCCAGCAGAGGCGGTCCTGGTCCTCTTTGAAGCCTCATTTTCGCTTGAACTCTCCAGTCGCCTTCGTTTTCTGGCCCCGCCCGGGGAGTCCAGGGTGCTGCTGTCGGATGAATCGAGTTGACTCTCGTTCAGAGCTCGCATGTCATCTTCGAGCTTCTGCAGAAACGCCAGACTGGCGTCAACCACATGCCCCTGCCCAACGTCATCCATGACTGCATAGAAAAGAAACCGTGATGTGATGTTGAGGAAGCGAAACGGACGACATATGCAGGCAGTTCAGTAGCCCGGCTGGGGGGGTTTATGCAAGGGATCAGCCCTCGCTAAGAGTCTGAGCAAACACGGGCAGGCACGTTGGACTATCATCGAGAGAGACTCTAGCGCCGGCTGCAAGGATGTCCTGGGAGAGAAAGAACCTTGGAAACGGAAAGAGCTGTTTGCTGCTCTTGAGCTGCATCTGAGCTTTTTTGTTCCTCTAGCAGTGACAAGCGCTGGTTCCCCTATAAAGCGGAGGGTCGTTATAAGTGATGAAATTGACGTCTTTTGCTTATCGATTAGAGATGACTAATCGACACCGTAACGACAAGTGCCTACTACTATCTAGGTAGTAATACCGCTTCAGCGGGTCTTGTTTAGCAAAATTGGCTGTACAAAGACGGTACAGATAGATCTAGTAGATATATGTAGCTCTAGTAGATATATCTACATCTACTAGATAGATGGATATGTAGATAGATATACGGGACATACTGGACATACCAGCTTATTTAGCAATTTGGTCTCTTGGCCCCTTTGCTCATAAGGCTGAACAACCAACCCCTCTTCTCTTCTTAGGATATACTGCTCTCCCCGAAGCAGTACTTCTATAATAACTCATTTCGCTTCGTCCAAGGTTTGTCTCGACGGTTCCTTGATATGGTTCACGGTAAGGCCCACTGTTACGTGGGTGGGGTTATCCGGGTTATTATCGCACTTGCTGTGTAAGAGAGCCTATATGTGTTAGCGTCTGTTTACCCGGGTAGATACAACATAGCCTATGACACATATCACAGTTATTGGGGTTTTCTTTACACATCTAAAAGCAACTATCTATTATGGAGAGGTAAATGTCGTAGATGTGAATAAATTTATAGAGAACACGCGCCGAGAGTAGTATTGCAGCTCCGCTCATTTGTCCTCCGTCTGGCGTTGTCAGGTAAAGTGGCATCACTTAGCTTGACGATGTATTCATCACCTAACAAAGCAACCTTCTATCACAATACTCAAAATAAGAGAACACCATTTGCTCATGAAGCGGAGAGAAGGGTGGGGACTTAAGATAAGGTAGCTACAAATGTCCCTGCATATAAAAGACCTTGCATTCCTTTTCCAAATACCAAATCCAGATCAAACATGTCCAACGAACGTGTTCTATCATATACAAGAGTGTCCAATACACATACATCAAATTACTGCTCCCCGTTCATCATACTCGCACCATCGCCCAGCCCCTGTTCTGGAGACGATTGCTCTCCAGAACCGTAAATCTGGAAACTCTGGTCGGCTCCCCAAGTTGTCATCTGTGTGTAGTTCTCAAATGCGCCCTATGAGAAAAAAAAATAGTCAGCTAATGTCGAAAATAGAAATGATGCTATACAAGAGAGGACTGTAGTCTTACCCAGTCAAAGTTGGACAGGTCGCCTGCCCCCGTACCGCCCAAGTTTGTAAACATGGAGAGTGGGGAGGCAGCAGCAGCGGCACCAGAAACACCATTGAGAGCGTCAAATTGTGGAAACTCGCCCCCATTTGTAGCCCGTAGACCAAAGTCCATGCCCATGAAGGCACTGCTTTGTGAGAATGGGTCTTGGCCACCAAAGCCAGGCATCCCCATGGGAGAGACAAAGCCCAGCGACAAGGGGGTTTGGTCCTGTGATGAGCCTGTGCCTACAATTGAGGCGGATAAAGAGTCGGTTCGGGATGTCACTTGGTCGCTGTTGGCATCCATGGCATCTCCCAAAGGCATCTTGATCTTCTCCAACATGATTTCAATGATTTTGGTAGCTTTGAAGGCTTCCATTGAAGTATTAGCCAGATCTGCCCATATACCCTTGGCAGTCTCGAGTGCGCTTATCATCTTGGTTCGTTGCTCCTCGGTGTAGATGATAATGTCCTCCGAAGGACTGGAGGATTGTCGTGCCAAGTTATCATAGTGAAGGTCTAGGACAAGGAGCATAGCTGGCAAGGTAAACTCTTTTGTCGCGATTGACTTGATGTACCATGAAACAGAACGTAGCCGGCCGTTGCCCTGAGATTCGCGATGTAGCTTGGCCAGGTGATCCAGCGCCTGCAGTGACGCTTCGATAGCACTGCGCCGTGAAAATGCATATCTTGGGTTGTGCTGGGCCTTGGAGTGATATTTTCGGTGCAGGAGACACAGTATTTTCTGAAACAAGATATCAATGTTGTACCTCGCAATGATCAACGTAACGGGGTCCTGGGACGCTTCCAGTGTGCCAAGGCGGAGGTGAGGAGGAAGCTCCTGCATTATCTGGCGAAGCTTTGCGTCGAATCGGATAACCTCATCGTATGGGACAGTCTTCCCCACCATGTTGGTTGCTTGTAAAATGTTTCCAAGCTCAGAGCACAGCCTCACTTTCGCAATCATGTATGATATCGGCGTCGGTTCTGAAGAAGGGCGGGAAGGTGGCAATTCCTTGGTATCGGGGTGGAATTCATCGTCAAAGAGGTTGTTTGGAAGCTGGGTGTCACAGTCGTTCTCATATATCATATTGGGCAATGATACCTGATGCGAAAATACGACATCAGACATGCGGACCAGCGCCCACGCTCTTCTTCTCATTTCCTACATCTCGTGCATTAGCTTTTTGTTCGTCAGTGAAGTACCCAGAATGAACTTACAGCTTGAAATGGTGTAAGATTGGGAAACCATTTTGCATCTCGATGGTATCCCATGCGGAAGGCTATTCTCGTGATGACAGAAACAATCAACCACAGGCCAAGGTCGGCATCCCACCGAGACGAGTACTCTCCAAAGACGTATAAAAGCATAGCCTCAACGGTGTACTCGACTGGTTTTGTGTAGTCTGCCTTGATCAGACACTGTACTGTCCGTAGTCGATATTCTGACGCCAGCTCCAAAGTCCGGCCTCTCCACTCGGGAGGTTCATCACCAACTTTGTGATAGCTCAGCATGGCGAGAGTAAGCACCGAATAGAGCAATCCTAGCCACATGATTGGTGTTTTTGACGGGTCCTCCCAATGGCTTTTCAGCTGCTTGAAAAAGGTCGGGCCGTGTATTATACACACAGCGTTATCCATGGAGTTGAAATAACGGCTACACAAGGTCAGAATGCTTGATTTTGGAGGCAGCTCCGCGCGAAGCTCGATCTCGGAGGCGGGCAAGGCGCCGAGCAACAGCGTCGGCCCTTCTCGGGCAGCCATTGGTTTTGATAACCTGACACGCTCGTAGCTCGACTCCAGCTCCTTCTTATGGTACATGAAATAGTTCTTCACCTCAGAGATGTCGGACAGAAGCGTGTGCCAGTGCTCTTGGCCGATATACATGGACTTTCCCTTGTCGGGGTCGACTTTCAAAACTCCCAGTGAAGCCGCGAGTCCCTCTTCCGTGTCGCTATCGTCTTCGACCATTGTCACACCCTCGTCGCGGCCAGCTTTGGCGGAGGAGCCGCTATCAGTTAGCGACTGTGACGTAGAGGCAGCACGGCCAGCCGCAGCGGCTGAAGCAGGGTCTACATTAGCCCCGCCATGCATCAAAGACAGGACAAGGCCTTCTAACCGGTCGATCCTATTCTGCATGTCATCCGGCGTGGCGTCGGCCTGGTTCTGGCTCTTTTTTCGGGTTGCCGGAGCTGCATAAGAGCATGATGCCGTATCCATGCCCTCTCGTTTGGTGCAGTTGCTGCACGGGTGATTCCTGTCGCATTTCCTACGCCATGTTAGCAAGTAAAACGCACCAATGGATGCCGCTCGCTGGTTGTCCGTCAAGCCATGTCTGGCACTCACAATCTACATGGGAGGTTAGCACGCCTACACTCTTGTCCATGGACAGTGCGGAGATAACGACGTACTTTCTTGTCCTGCATGGGTAGCAGCTCAAAGGCACGCGATTTCTCTTCCTCACAACGCGAAACTGCTCCTCAGGGGAGCGACCCCCTGTAGAAGAGTTGGTCGAAGGCGGAGTGGGCGTCATTGTGGAGGAGGGGGAAGCTGAGGGATTCTCGTAATCTCAGACCGTTGTTGGCTGATGAGGCGATTCGGATTTAAGGATCACACCGAAATGCTCTGATCTTCAGCCGGCCTCACAAGCGGCTTGCCGGTTATGATTGATGCAGCGCATATATTAGACCTCTGAGGGCTCGGGAGAAGGCGGGGGGAGGCAGCCTGTTAATTGCTAGAAGCAGCCAGGCCAGGAAAGGGGGAAATCGACGACTCGATGCGACGACAGAGAGGAATGCTGGCCCTTTAGAGGATCAGCCGGTAGCCGGTCAGAAAAGACTGCATTCGCCGGAAATAAACCTGATCCGCGGCTTCGGGTTCTGGTTGTGATGCGAAGGGGTTGCGAAGGGGATGCTCTGCGATGGGTTTGGACCCTGGACTGGCGATTCCAGTGGTTGCGCGGCCTCGTTGGAAATCAGACGAGAAGCGGGCGGAATTGCCTTGGTGGCTTGATATGGCAGGCTGTCAGTTGCGTTGAAGGCGGAGAGGGGCGCCGGAAAGCTTGGTGGCGGACTTGAGATGACGGAAATCCGAAGGCGTCAGGGCAAGCTGGTGCTGGCGGGAGTAGAGAGAGAGGCAGAGAGAGGACATCAAGTGAGGGGGGAAAAGAGAAAATTTGCGTTTCTGAGAGGAAGAGGGACGTCTGCTGGAATTAGAGGTTAAAGCACAAAATATAATAAAGGATTCCCCGAGAATCGCGGTGGTGGGGGGGGAGCCAGAAGTGGTGTCGAGGCCCGGGCGTGAGAGCGCGATACCAAACGGTACTATGGAATCACCCACTGAAGCGTCTCCAACTTTTTTTTCGCTGTGGAGCAACTAACACCGGCAGCTGTGTCTCTTACACGGGATACGAGTACTCTCTACGATACAACGCAATTCCCGACGGTTATACTATGTAGTAGAGGACGGCGTCTGGGCTTCAAATCTCTCATGCAGCTGCTGTGCATCCAGACAAGCTGAAGCTGCTGCATTGCTCACCACACCGCTTAGCAAAGCCTGCAGCGTTGAAGCTTGAAGCTGCTTCGATCCCGTCCGTCACCAAACAGGAAGCTTATCTGAAAGCCGGTTGGTTGCTTTGTCAGCCAGCTTCCCAAGTACCCCGTGTTAGTGCATGGCAGCAACCCCATTGGCACAGCAAATGACGACCCAGCCATGGGGGAAGCTTCCAGGCGGCCCGTGTATTGATCCATGGCGCCGATGGCCATCTGCGAGCAAAAAACAGAGCCCGTCATTTGACCTGCACCTTTGCAAACAGCCTTTCGGCTAAGTGCAGTACTAACACAGCACCGTCTTAACGCTGAGGTATTGATACCGTGTACATGGCATGAGAGTACCTACCTGCTACGTACGTATACAATGGAACGTCCCGGAGCAAGTACGAGGACATTGCCGTAGTTCCCTGGCGGAAATTGTTTGCGAGATGAACACAGCCCGGAGTTAAGCCGCGACACACAGCTTCATGGGCAAGGCTCCAGCTAGTTTACGTAGTTGACGCTGCATTCTGCAACTCTGTGACTCACGATTTTTAGCAGTCTGCTAGCGCCGACCAGCTCCAGCGCGCATGTCAGCGAACCAACTGGTTAACCCCTACCTGTCCAATGATAGGGGACAGTGAAGCCATGGAAGCTCCGTACTGGTGCAGGGACTTGTTCGATGGTGATTTCATCTCCCGAGGTCCTCTTTTCGTGGTTGCCGGCCAGAGGGGATGTGGTGCCTTGGTACCTTGGCAAGCTTGGGATGTACTAGCGGCAGTTGAAATACAGGCACCACAAGTTGAGGTTTCAGGAACAACTCCTTACAAGGCATGGATTGACAAGCACTGTGTTTGGAGCAAATTGATGCCTGGGCAGGGCAGTGGGGATGCCGGATATGCTCGCAACTACCTAGATTGGATTGCCTTTGCTTGTTAAAGGTACCTAGGTAGTCTGCTCTCAGAATGTCTACATGTACCTACCTGTACTCGGGTAATATCTCGTCAGCATATCTCCTGACGTTGTGAGCAAAACAACTACGTAACAACTTTGACAAGGAGTACGGAGTAAGTTGCCCATCTCTACGACTGTCAGCAAGTTTCCACAATGTCTTATGTATCAAATACTTCTCGGCGCAGTGGCATTCAATGTCCATATTGTCAAATTGCTATTTTTCATTTATAATATTTTGAGTTTCATACATCATATCCATATCCCCCTCTGCTTTTGGCCTCATCAAATACCCGACTCGGCAGCCATGACCAGCCCAGTGAAGGGCTTCTCTTTTCTACTGTTGGCCATGCATGTTCAACTCTGAAAACGCAATCATAGACGCCTCATCGACAGGTATAACGCTCCAATTCCAATTCCAATTTCGCTCATCCGATAGCTCGATATGCAGGGGCAAATTCGCCTTTATGCTCTCGTCCCAAGCATCTCACTCCCGGGCCTGCATAGTACACGTCTTACTGCAGTTAGGTAGGCCAGAATATTTCGATATGGCACTATGTCACGGCTCCGCCACCAACCCATAAAGGTGGACAAAATTATTTTCACCAGAGATGTCACAGACGGAAATGTGAGGAGGTGTTGTCTACACCTTTCTTGGTTTTGTTTACGCCGCCGTCGGTTCAGCAGTGACGCTGTATGGCTTGAAGAATTCCTCGTTGCTGCTGAGCTCCTCCTTAACCTATAACTAGCGTCAGTCAAAAATCTGGAATACTCATGTAATAGCACATACGATGTCTAGACCACCAACGAGTTCGCCATCCATCCACAGCTGTGGGAAAGTCGGCCACTCAGCATACTCCTTCAGGCCCTGTCGCACATCATCGTCGGCCAGGATATTGAAGAATCCGTATTTGACAGAGTTGTCGCGCAAGATTCCAACCATTTGCCGCGAGAAGCCACACTGGGGAGAGCTGGGTGTGCCCTTCATGAAGAGCATAACGGGGGCTGCCTTGACCAAGTCGCCGAGGCGCTTGAACAATTCCTCCTTCTGCTTGGCCGGATCAACGATGGTGGCATCGGCCTGGGCCACTTCGGCGGCCTGAGCAGCCCCATTAGGCGCGGCAGCATCTTGTGTTGCACCTCCAGCCTTGTTTGCGTGCTTCTCGATAGCCGTCCGCACCTTGACGGCGCTGCTGCCGCTAACAGTCTCGACGACTTCGCCGTTTCGCAGCAGCACCAGGTAAGGAACCGCGGTCACATCGTAGGTTTCGCTGATATCGCTGAGGTCCTCAGCATTGATCGACACCCACTGGGTGCTCAGAGGATCGGTGACGGGATATTCGGATGCGAGCGTGGACAGAACCGTTGCCATCTGGGCACATGGCGCCGCCCAGGGTGCGTGGAAAGAGGCGACAATGAGGGTTGAGGCGGGCGCAGAGCTGAGCACCTGCTGCCACTGCTCGTCGGTCAGGATTTCGGTAATGGTCGACATCTTGTTGGCAGGCCCGAGTTCAGGTTCAGGTTCAGATTCAGGATCGGATGTGTAAGATGATGGACGTTTGTATGGCAAATGTGGGCAAAGACGGCGAGAATCGGCCTGGAGTATCAAAGTTGGATTTTTAGCGGGGTAAAAGTATGGCGCAAGTGCCATAGTGGCATAGGTCATTGCAAGCATTTGAAATCAGGGCCGCTGATATTACTACACCGGTGTGCCATTTGTAATCAAACTCTGGAGAGCGCGACACGAGCCATCGATTCAGCAGTGGTTCCAAGGCGAATTCACAAGCTAATAGGAAGAAAAGAGCCTTTTGAAATAAAGAATCAATCACAGAGCATAGGCATTGTTCAATTGAAATGACATCATTCCTATGGGTGATTTTGCCGGGATTGATGGCTAATTTAGGAAATACATGGAGAGGTGTAGTACCTCGAAGATGCCTTAGTGCTAAAGGAGAGAGAGCGACTTGACGTATAAGTGTATGGTAGAATGTCTAAGCACATAGGCAGACACTTCCATTGTATTCACCTCGATGTGGAATTCAGGACAGCCAGCTGCGTACTTGTACATGCCAGGAAGTGCGAAATCTCGTTTAGAAATAGCCTCTACCTGTTATAAGCTCGCCCTTATGCTTATTTCGGGGTATAAGCGTAACAGGGAGTAGTAAAGTACCATAAAGCCGATAATCAGCGCCAGCAGGATGGAGAGAACACCATGCCGTAATGTACATATGATGCTAGAAGGAATCTCTGGGAGGAGCCAAAGTTCAGCTGAAATGGACATTTCTCTGTCCTGATAGGGAATCCATCCGATTGGCTGTCAGCCACCCCAGCCGGGTTGGGGTACATACATTGGGACATTGTCACGGCGAGATGAAACGCGTGTCGTTGGGCTAAATATACGCAAGTATGTGGCTCGGCAGCTGAAGTTGTCGAGGCTGGAACAACAACGACATCGAGCTATTGCGAGGCTTTCTTCTCTTCTCCCTTCTCTTTTCAATAATCTTTATCTTTTTCTTGAGGTGCCTACGTAATGGACGAAAGACCATCACACATCTACCGTACCTTGCCGTAGTAGCAGCCCAATAACACGGCTTAGAGAAAGAGCCCTAACTCCGGAATGGAGCTCTGATTAGACGGTAGGGTACTCCGTACGGCCAGATCTTGCAGCACAAGTGTTTATGCTCCCCTTGCATACGTCTAGGCCCTTAGCGATTCCTGTGCATCTGGATGTGCATCTCGGGCTTTGGGGTTCTGTCACCATGCATGCTGCGGGTTTGCCGGAAATACCACAGCCGCTGCACTCTGACAGGTGGATGGATTACCTTGGAACCATACAAGTGATGGCGACTACCCTGCATCTGGAGGCTATTCACAGCTGCCTGTGGACAGGATCCAATGAACAAAATTATATCTACTATAGGTAGGTAGGTACTCCTAAGTAGTACATTGTGATGAGGCCTCCATTCTATGTGCGGACTTGTACCTATACCGTAAGTCCCTACTCACTTACGCGTACGCCGTAAGATTACACACAGGATAGCAATCTTGCTACCTAAAGAAAGGAGCCGAGTTTGCAAGCATTAGATCAAATCGTATAAGTCAAATCAAACTAAATCAAGCATCATGCAAACATCAAGCAGTTTCGGGTCGGGTGCTTTTTGCCCTCCTGAGCATTGAGTTCCAGCGCCCTCAGGCACCAGCAATAGCACAAAGGCACCTATAGACGCTGCCTGGAGCGCTGGGGTGGCGGAACTGCCACAGCAAAGAGGGGCACTCTGCGTCATTTGAGCTGCCCCTAGCTCATCCCGACCCGATACGTGCAATCCCCCACCGGGGCTATGCATCTAAGCATGCTGCTTATTGTCCCCGCCTCCGGCGCCACGCAGCGTCGACGCATGTCCCGCCAGACAGGCAGTCCATCAGCTTGCCAGCTCGAGTCGGCCACGAATCCCCGAATCCCCCCTTTGTGCTTTGTGCCCGAGCATATACTGGACTTGCGTACCCGAGAAGCCTCCCCTTCTCTTCACAGCATAGCCTAGCCGTGCTATTTATTGGGCTGCTGAACGACGGCCATTGCATTGTGAGTGCAGAACCTGACGTTGCTCCAGTAGCCTCCCCTGAGTTGCATGCTAACGGACTTGTCGCTGCTAGCCATTGCTGAGCGGAGCTCAATTCCTCTCCAACCATCCTCTACTCTCTCCTCTCTCCTCTCTCCATCCGTTCACCTCCGTCGTCCTCTATCGATACACCCACGATTCCTGCCTCGAGATGGCGTCTCTCAACCTCTCTACAAACGGCGCCTCCATCAAGAGCAGCTACAATGCTGTCATTGGCGGAGATGCGCCGGCATCCGGCTCGCCCACCTACGCTCAGTGGGCGCTCTTCTCTGTCCAAGCTCCCCTGGTCAACGCCTTCCAGGACAGCGGCTCCAAGGAGAGCGTGCTCAAGGTCCAAAGCACAGGCGGTATGCGAGCCATTGATGAGCCCTTGCGCTTTGCATTTGCCACCCCCAAGATGCTAATGATTCTCTAGATGGCGAGCTCACCGAGCTGATTGAAGACTTCAGCGAGGGTCGAATCCAGTTTGCCTTTGTCAAGGTCAGGGATCCCAATTCGGGTCTTCCCAAGTTTGTTCTGATCGGTTGGTGCGGAGGAGGTGTCCCTGAACGCACAAAGGGATACTTCACCAGCCACTTGGCTGCCGTGTCCAAGATCCTCCACGGATATCACGTTCAGATTACCGCCCGCTCCGACAGCGACCTCGAGCCTGAATCCATCATGCGCAAGGTTGCCGATGCATCAGGTGCCAAATACTCGGCCGGATCCTCGGCCGGAGCTGCCACACATGCTCCCCCGCCCGTCAAGGCCAAGCCTGTCTTCACACCCTCGTCGTCAGCAGGCCGTCCTGTTGACCCTCTCGTTGCTGCTCGATCCAGGAATGACGCCGCTGTCGATGCGGATGGTTGGGGAGCAGACGCTCCTCCTGTCACTCGGACGCAGATCGAAAAGGTCGCGCCAGCCTATAAGCCAACCAAGGTGAACATGGCAGAGCTTACAAGTCAGAAGCAGGAGCCTTCGCGCTTCACCGGCGCGCCCCGACAGGAGACGGGCTCTGCTGATGTCGTTGGAGGCGGCTACCAGCCGGTGGGCAAGGTAGACATTGCGGCCATCAGAGCACAGGCTCAGAAGACGGGAGACGACAGGCCCACGCCAGTCAAGGGAGCGTATGAGCCTGTCGGAAAGGTCGACATTGCTGCAATTAGGGCCAAGGCACAAAAACCAGCGGAACCAGCTGCACCAGAAGAGGAACAGGAGACGCAGAGCTTTTCTGACCGAGCAGCTGCTTTCTCGCAGCCAAGTGCTGGACGACTGACCTCACTCCCCAAGCCTACCGTTGCGAAGAAGTGGTCCGGAGCCTCCGCATTCACCGGCACCAAGGCCCCAACCCCAGGTGGACTCGGATTTGGTGGCCCGGCTGCCCCGGCCGCCCCCCCTGTTGGAGCTGCTAGCCGGACGTTTGCAGACCAAGGTGGCAAGACCCCAGCCCAGATCTGGGCGGAGAAGAAGGCCAGAGAGGGCGGAAGCATTGGCAGCATCCCTGCCGCGGCGTCGCCAGTGCCAGCTGCTCAGCAGACCGGTGGCTCATCCTGGAAGAGTGGCTACACAGGCAAGAGCTGGGCTCCAGTACAGACTGGAGGAGCCACGCGTGGTGTTGCCGAATCTGCGGACCAGCAGGAGGCAGAAGAGACCAGAGAGGCGGCGGAGGAGGAAGAGCCCTCTGGTCCCTCAGGCGTGTCTGCCTTGAGAGATCGTTTTAAGAACACCGCTCCCATCGGGGCCGGCGTACCCCCAACCACACGTGCAGTCGAGGAAGAGTATCAGGCTCCACCGCCTGTTCCGGATGGCTCTAGGCCAGCTGGAGGCTTCGCTCTCCCCGGCCTTCCCAGCCGACCGGCGCCCGCAGACGAGGAGGAAGAGGAGGAAGATCCTTCGGCCTACCAGCCCGTTGCCCAGGAGCGGGAGCGCTCGCCATCGCCCATCCGTGTCGCCGCGCCCATCCCTCGCGGCCCTGAGCCTGTCCTCGAGAAGCCCGAGGCGCGTGCACCTCCTCCAGTCCCCGTGGAGGAAGTCCCAGTTCCCAGAGAAGAGGAGCTTCAGGACGAGCACGAGGCCGGCCACCTTGCAAGAGCCGCAGCCAGTGCCGTTGCCGAGCAGACATTCGAGCACGCTTCTCACGCGGCCGACACTCACACCCAGCAGGGCGGCAAGCGCGCTCTCGTGCAGTATGACTATGAAAAGGCCGAGGATAACGAAGTTGACCTGGTCGAGGGTGAGTATGTTACCAACATCGACATGGTGGACGACGACTGGTGGATGGGCACCAACGCCAGGGGAGAGAGCGGTCTGTTCCCCAGCAACTACGTCGAACTTGTTGAGGATGACGCCGCACCAGCTGCTCCGGCCGCCCCCGTTGCCGCCCGAGAGCCAGAGCCGGCGCCGGCACCTGTGGCCCCCGCTGCTCCACCAGCAGCTCCGGCCGCGGCTGCTGCAGGCCCGACAGCCACGGCTTTGTATGACTATGAAGCTGCGGAAGATAACGGTGAGAGCCCCTGGATTGATGATGTCATGGTCGTTGCTAACTTTTGTGGCAGAACTGAGTTTCCCCGAGGACGCTACGATTACCAACTTGGAGTTCCCTGACGAGGATTGGTGGTTCGGTCACTACGGCGGCCACTCGGGTCTCTTCCCCGCCAACTATGTCAAGCTCGACGAGTAAAATCATGTTGGGGGAGAGAAGGCAGAAGGGGCTTGGGAGAGGAATAAGTGAAGAGGTAGATGTACAAACAAATAACAATCATGTTATGCCTGATGAGGCTAGTAAATGACTTGTTTCCACATAGATAGGTTTAGCAAGGCGGATGGCGGAACAAAAAAGAGGTTTTTTTTTCTTTTATTTTCTTGACATGTGAACGTAAATATTGTGGTATGAGGCCTCAATTGAGTTTGATAGTGCCCTGATCCACCATGTCATTGGCCGATTCATTGTGAACAATGTAAAAATACGTGATATCATAGGTTGCTACCGTAGACATTGAAAAAACCTCTTGTCATTCTTCTACATACACACTCACTCGCTCACCACCCTTTGCTTCTTATAAAACAAGAATAAATTTAACAAGGACAAAAACAATGAGAAATTAATTGAGTCGTCACTCTTTGGTACTAATCTTTCTCCATGATCTGTTGTAAAAAGAACAAGGGGGGTATGAAAGGACAAAAAAAAAACCCATGAAAAAAGGACGGCGTATTATTCCAATTTCGGAAAGACAGTAATAACATATTATGACTGAATTTCGTGTAAAACCTAGCGCTCCCATCCTAAGCGCAAACACCGAAAACAAAAAAGGGGGGGAGAAAAGAGGGCTCTGTGTTCCCCTTGATTTTTCTTATTTTTTTGCCTTCTTCTGTCCGTCCATGCTGGGACATTACTCTTCCCTTCTTTGTCGCAGTTGTCTGATTTGGTGGATTGTTGGTTTAAAAGCAGCACTCGCAAATATCGATACTGGCGGTCGCATTAGCAATTGGCGCAACGTGATTCGCAACGCGCAGAGTGAGGTCGCGGGGAGAGAGAGAGAGTTTAAAAAAAAAAAAAGGGGGGGGGGGGTCAAGATTGCAAAGCCACATACCAGCACTCGCATCCCTCTTCGACGGCGCAGCAACAGCACAGAGCGGCGATACAGGCCATCAGGCAGCCCTGGTCACCGCCGCGACCGCGCTGGTTATCCGGGGGAGGCGCCTGTTCGTACTGCATGGGAGCTTGGCCCTGAGGAGGACCATATTGACCCTGAGGAGGACCATATTGACCCTGAGGGGGACCATATTGGCCCTGGGGAGGACCGTAGCTCTAGAATGGCGAGACGCGTCTGGTTAGCGATGACATGGACGGATTGGACTGCAAGATGCGACGCCCGATTGCCGAGTTCCTGGTTCAGGAGCCTGAAGTTGTCGAATCGGCGCACGGGATACAGAGCTTGGGGGGAGGATTATTTACAGCTGGAGGCTGCTGAGGATAGCCCTGAGGATGGCCTTGCGGAGGGTAACCGCCCTGCTGGGGAGGGTATCCGCCCTGCTGATAGTATTCCTGGCTGGACATTATTGTGGTGATGTAGGTTCAGATCGCGCTGCGACGAGAAAGACAAAAAACGAAAGTGAGAAAAAGGTCTGGAGAAGAATGGAAGAGAGAGAGTCAAGGGAAATTAGCGATGGGAAGGATAAGAATGAGTGCTGCTGTCTGGAAATAAAGATTAGCGGGTTCCAGCATTTAAAAGTGGCCTGGAGTGGATAGGCAGGGAGGCTGTGGCAGCTCCGGTACTTTCAGAAGCACCCGACCGATACTGTGCTGTACAAGTACATGCTAATGCTGGGGCTTTGCTAGGTAGGGGACGCACAGCAAACTACAGCAGAGCACAGCAGAGCATGGACAGCATGCCAACGCCGGAGGAGCGCCCGTTTCACGGCACAGGCGGTTTGACGAGGATGAAGCTCGACTAGCCGGGGGGGGCCTGGGAGTGGGGAATTGCGGGTGATGGGAGATGGACAGGTGCTAATCTTGGCTTCTTGGCTGGGACGGGATCAGAGCCCAACAAAGGTAGGGAGGGGGAAGAAAAGAATGATGATGGTGATGAATAGAGGTAGGTAGGTAGTAGTAGGTAGATTGGGGAAATGGGAGTACAGTTGAGGAAGAGAGATTTCGTTTGTGCTACTAACCTGGTACTGTACGAGTACGAGTACTTGTCGAGTTTCGGGTCGGAAGAGGCGCGAAATGATGACGAGGGACAAAGGAGGCCTATGAGGGGGACACGGGAGGACGAAAGAGGAAGTGGGAAATGAGAGAGAGAGATGCGAGAGACTGGGCGGCCTCGATTAGAAAAAAAGAAAGAAAATCACGGGTTCCCTCGCGCTGGACACGCGGTACTCGGTAGTACGAGTACTTGGTCTTGTTAGTGCACGTACAGTAGAGGTAGAGGTACACAATTGCATTTGAATCCAATTCTCCGGCAAATGCTCCCTCAATCCCTCTTTGGTCAGACCCAAGCCCTGCACCCGTGCCGTGATTCCGGCTGAGCATCACCCCAGCGGCCCCTGTCGCGGCTTGCCATTGGCTCGGCACGATGCGCTGACGAGGCTGCTTGTGGCGCCTGCTTTTGGTTCTCTCTGGGCGATGCAGCTGCTTGGGTTTAGTAGTTAGTGCTCAGTGTATAGCTTCAACATCTCCAGTTTATTCCAGCGCGGCGTGGCAACCTTGGTGAGGAGCCAAGCATTCTTTAGCACCAGACTATGCTGTGTATGGGCTCATTGATCGATTTTCTCAGCATCAATACCTGCTAACTCATCGCTCCGCACCCAACGAAAAAGATCCATACCTTACCTCTATTGATACTATGACGATATTCTTTTGCCTCGCACCAACCCGCACCGCCTCGATGCGTGGCGCATGCATTCGTTTCCAACTTCTTCTCCATCTTCCATCGGCCCAACTCTCTGTCCGGAATTGAATCAAGTATTTCACAAGTCCGAACCAACACAGACGATGCATTCATTTTCATGTCCATGGCATTCTACATACAGAATACTCCATACAGGTAGGTAGCTACATGTAATGTAAGCACAGTCATTGGCGCTGCAAAGGAACATTTGCATTGATGCTACACGCATGAAACGCTCCCCCCAAAACCCCTTGTTTGAGCCCTGCATGGGCGTCCAAGTCCGATATTTCTCGCTCGCCACTGCTTTCCCATCGTATCGTCGGCACTCATAAGCGCCACAATGCCGCGCATCTTGTCCAACTGCGGCTGATCGTCAACCAGTGTCCAATGAACCAATGAACAGGGGGACGGAGAGGCTATTGATCTGTACGTATACTTGGTATATACACATCCATGCATATAAGCGCCACCGGCCGTCCCATCTGCCTGCAAACATGCGCCTTGGCTTTGGCCCCCAAGCGCCGTCAATGTGGTAGCGACAGTCTATTTTGAGAAGGATTCTTGCCTTGTAAGTCGTGGTGTGATACGGAGTACTTGTCCACGTAAGCCTAGATGTCGGCTCGAGAGTGAGGCTATACTACCTAGTACCTATGAATCCTCAACACTTCACTCTTAAGCAAGACTTTGGCCCCGCCTTGTCCATATACAGACATGAAATAAATGAATAAAAAGATAAGAACGTCTTAAAGTTTCCCTTCTAATTTATTCGTTCTTCTCACTAGATACAATTTTCATCGTTGTTCCCTGAGAGGCTTACACGATCATAATCTCATCTCATACCAGCTCGCTCTCATTGCATTTTAAGAGCCATCCAACTTTAGCTTTGATTCAGTGATGAAGAAAAAAAAAAGTGTACATCAAATATTAGATCTAATTCTTCAAAAACACACCGGAATCCCCATCAACTAGCCGTGATCATCTTACAACTCCCTCGCTCAGCAAACGGAGCATCTCAACCCATCAGCTCAGCCTTTCTCCCAAATCTCAAAACCTCTCCTTACACTGAATCACACAACATCCCTTCTTGACCGCTCACCTCGAATCCATAACCTCCCCCTTACTACCAGTTATTCCCAGCAGTGAATCTTGCACATGCGTGGAGTCCGGAGCTCTCTTCAACATCATGGCCGTTCCTCCGCTTACACGTACTTATTTCGGCTTCTTCCCCTCTTACTCATATGTTTTCATGTTCACGAGACAATACACCTGCTCTTTACTTATCTCTCTGACTCTTGAGAGCTTTGTGAGTGTTTAGCATATACGGGTCTTTCACGGTGACTTATAAACTCGCCTTCTGATTCTGCATTTTCTTCTCTTGTTCAACTGGCAACGTCCGGTTATCCAAAGTTACGACACTAAATACTCGGATTTGGCAGAACCCTCATCGCTCTGGGCGTCTCTATCAGTGTGGAAAGGAGACAGCTGCATCCCTTTCACAGCAAAACAACAAGTCCCAACAATGTCAGCCCCCAATAACGACAAAAACTGCACCTCCCGCAACCAAGACAAGACACCAGCCACGAATATAACCTCGCATCCCACCTTCAGTCCCGCCAGCTCTCCCAATAAACACAACACTACCGCCCCCGAGCCTCAGCAACCCGACACCCCCGTCCTGCTCCAGCGGCAACAACACCCCCCGCCCAGCTTCGACATTGCCCATCACGGATGGGACGCCTCCAACGTGTCCACCGCAAAATGCGATCTCTGCCACCGCCAGCGCTGCGGCACGCTGCAAAAATGCCGTGTCTGCAAGCTCTCCATCTGCCGCGAGTGCTGCGTTAATGGCCGCCTGCAAAACGACCGCAGACATGCCATCGATGCCGCCGCCGTGGACTGGGATGTGCCGCCCAACGTTCGCAAGCGGAAACGCCAGGCCATGGGGAGCGGAGAGGAGACACCACTGGGATCTAAGAGACAGAAGGCCGGCGTGAGACAAAGGCGAAGTCGTGGACAACAGTATGGGCGAGAGGTCGTGGCTTCTTCCGTCGCGGGTTTAGACGGGGCTGCCCAAACTCTTGATGGCGAGGTTCCCTGGAATCGGGAATATGGCCATGTTGATAATATGGAGCCACGGCTTTCCGTCGCTCCAGCGTCGTACTATCCCTCCGTCGGTCAAGCTCAGCACACGGAGGCCATCTCGCCAAAGTACAGTGCTCACTATGAACTGGAGACAGTCAGTTCGAGCTATAGAAGGCTGCCTACCATTGAAGAAGTCCGCAGCGGTGATGAAGAGTACCTGGCTTCTCTTGAAAGCGAGCACTATTCTGCAGCTTCTGCTCCGGGGCTGCCATCTCGCCGTCCCGTTCTTCCGGCAGACGACGTCTCTCAAGCCGCTCCATCTCGGCCCGTCCTCCCACCCATCGCACCCTTGCTCAGGGCCGGACATAGGCAATACCATCACTCCGCCGAGATCTTCCAAACCAGCTCGGACATCCTCAGCCGTCTCGACCACCTCCTACACCATCACCAGCCCATGACCAACGAATCCTGGCCTCAGCACGAACAAACCGACTCCTTCGGCACCAGCCTCGCCAACACCGCTCACGCAAACCACCACGCATCCAGCCCCCCGAAGCCGCTCGACCACTGCCTCCGCGACGAGCTGCAGGCCGTGTGGACATCCCGCGCTTTCATCGCCCAGGACCCCGACCCCGGCCGCCGCTATCGCCGGCTCCTTGCCGCGGCGTACTTTGCTAGTGCTTGTCTTGGTCTTGAGCCGCGGGAGAATGCTGCGCGGGAGTGGCTGTGTGCAGAGGAGAGGCGGATGCGGGAGATGGGGTGTGAGCCTACCAAGACTGCGCAGCTGCTGGATTTTCTTCAGGAGGTTGGGATATGGTATCTGCGACAGGCTCAGCGTTAGAAGAGGAATGAAAAGTTATATTTGATGGGGGTGATTGTTTATTTGTTTTCTTTTGGAGGTTAGGAGGCTTGAGAATACAAAATCTCCTGGAAGTTGCATGAAGAGAGATGCGAGAACGAAAATCTCCAAGATAGATCAGCCACAGGTTGCTTCGATAAAGAGCTTGGTTACGATGGACCGAGAGATAGAGATAGACTTTGCTGGAGATGGTAAACAGAGCCGTTAGACTGAAAAATGGAAAATGTGAAGAGTCACAAATCATGTTGTGGATGAGTAAATGTCATGGTAAGAGAATCATAACGAAGCGGGTGGGATAAAAAAAAAAACTTTTTTGTATCTTCGTTTGCCCATTCCCAGTAAGCTACCTTGCTCCTGAAATGAGACCAGATCTAGCCTATGCATCCGTCATGAGATTTGCCGTTTTCTGAAAAATCGAAACCAACTCACTCATTAAAAAGTGAAAAAATAAAGTGGCCGACATTGGACGGATATGAAACACATCACATATAGTTGTTAAAAGGGGGAAAACACACAAAAACAACGACTTTACTCTTCGGCCTCCTCCTCCACCTCCTCGGGCTCCTCCTCGTTGTCGTCGTCCTCGAAGCTGCCGGCGGGGACCTGGTACAGTCTCAGGATGGACTTGTTGGGGTCCTTGACCAGGACGAACTTGCCCTCCTCGCGCTTGAGGCACATGTCGGCAATGGTGCGGACAATACCCCAACCGTTGGACAGGGACAGGTTCATCTGGTTGGCGAAGTCGCGAGGCTTCCAGCCAATCACGCCGAGGATAACGTGCTTATCGTTGCTTCGGGGGTTGGCACGCGAGACAAATCTGTGATCAGAAGTGTTAGTAAATATAAAGGAAAGGGGGGGAAAGTTTACTGGATGAGAAAGGTTACATACCCGAGCTTCATGACGTCGGACTTGGACAGGATGCTCTGCACAGTCCATCTGGCCAGCTTGCAGCTGTTGTTCTTCATTTCAGTGGTAACAACAGCACCACGCTGGGCGACGAGCTTCGTCCGCCAGTCGAGGGCGCCTCCGCTGCCCTGGGCTCGGCTGTCGAACTCGTTGAGGGCCTTGATGGTAACGAGCTGGTCCTCGCCGCTGATAGCGTTCTTCTGGACAGCATCAATCTCGGTACGGACAATCAGGTACACGGGCTCCTCCTCGTTGGTGGAAAGGTCGAATCTCCTGTACTTGTAGGCCTTGCTGGCAGGAGGATCGGTATCCTCGGATGAGTTGTAGAAGGGGTTGGCGTGTGCCATCTCAACCTTGGTTGACTCGCCCTCGGACACGACCTGGTTGGCGAAGTTGTGGTTGATGTAGGTGGCCTCCTCGGCAAGAGCAGAGGGCTGGTTGACGACATCCTTACCGCCATCGGCAGCCTCCAGAGGAGCATCGGCAGCGTTCTCGTTGACGGTCACCATATCCAGGTTGGCGTTGTCGCGCTTGTCAAGGAAGATCTTGTTGCCCTGGCGGACAATGACAATATCCCAGGGGTAGACTGAGCGAGTAGAGCACATGAGCATGGAGAGAATGCTATCGGTGGCAAAGATGGTGGCCTCGTCCTTCTCGGCGTACTCCTGGATGACGGGATCGGATGAAGTGGTGACGTTGTAGGCGGCACGGTCAATGGCCGTGAGCTTCCTCTCAGATCCCTTGACGGGCTGCTTGTCGTAGGACCGGTCGTAGTAGTAGAGGAAACCATAGTCATCCAGGTCCTCACCGTCGTCGGCGTCGAGGTTGAGCTTGGCGAGGCGGTTGAAGTCAATCTCCTCAAGAAGCTCCCAGTCAGCCTTGATGTTGATGCTGGCATCGCGGTTGCGGGCAGGCTTGTCATAGTCCTTCCAGCCGAAACGACGTCCTCCACGGGCACCAGCACCGCCTCGGCCACCGCGGTCATAGCCATAGCCACCCTGTCGGCCACCAGCAGCTCGCTGGAACTGGCCTCCACGTCCACCACGGGTGTCGCCCCGACCACCGCGCTGACCCCGGCCGCGGGTGAAGACGGCGCCACGGCCGAATTTTGACTTGGTTGAGTCTCTAACGTTGCTGACGACGGAAAAGGTGCTCTCGTCCTCGGCGGGAGGGGCATTGAAAACAACGGCGTGGCCGGTACCGTACACCTGCTGGTCTGTTTTGCGGGTTCTCTCGTCAGCATTCGTCCATTTCAAAGGTCAAAAACACAACACATGGCCACTGTACCTCTGTATTGGCGGCTGTACTGCAGACGTCCACCACGCTCACGGTCCTTGCCCTCGGCAGTCCAATCCGCCATGCGCCCCAGTTTGTCGCCCTTGGAGAAAGGCGCATAGGGAACGCCGTCGAGAGTGATCTCGGTCGTTACTGAGGGGCCCCAGCCATCTCCAGGGGGGCAGCTCTCGCAAATCTTGACAAAGTCAAGGGATTCGGCCATCTTGACGGAGTTTATTCGTATGCTCTCTGGTGTCCGGTTCTTGATGCCGAGAGAGGCTTTTCGCTATGCTCGTGATGATTCGTCGTCCGGCCTGCGATGAATTTGGTTTCCAACATTGAATCGAAATTGTGGTGGGGTGTGGGGCGACCTAACGAAAAAAAGTTCCAAGCCCCGCGCCACCAGCTGCTACCAGGTGCCGCACCGCCACAGGGAATTTCTGCTTATCTTATCGCTTACTCACTGGAATGAGCCACAGCTCACTCATACCTTCAGCGAGCGCAAAATATTGTAATGCTCTGAAGGGACATATAGACTGAAATCCCACAAATTGGGTATACATGGTGATTTTAAATAGACGAAAAGGGGAGAATAATATATATATATATATCATGACTGCATAGCCCAGTAAAAACACCGCCATTAGACATGGACGCAACCGACGTCAAGGTTCGCCCTGGAATCTTTTAACAAACTCCCAACTATCATTATAAAACAAAAAAAGAAAAAGAAAAGGGTCATTCGATAAATCCAAAGCAAATGCGAAGAAAGGGGTTTTCACAAAAGACATGAATTTAGAAAACCATTGCCTCTGGGCGACCAGAAAAGATGTTTTCTAGGGCATCCCGTAACTCAAACTCCTCCATAACAGCGCCAAAACTGCATTCTCAAAGGTCAGCATGCTGAGCATCAAATCTCAACATGGGGAGAAGAAGGAGAAAAAAAAAAAAAAACTTACCCGTAACACCTGACTTTTCGCAATAACTCCTCGGAAAGCTTTTCAAAATCGCCCGATTCCAGCTCGGCGAACCTGGAATGCGACAGAACCATCCCCCACGCCATGACCGGAGTGATTTCGCCGTCCAAGTTGAGCTTCCGGCTGAGATCCAGGAGCGTGGACAAGTCGGCCTTGGTGAGTTCCCACGTGCCTTGGCTTTGTGGATGAAACTCGCCGCCGTGGTCGTGCGTGTGCGTGTTGCCGAAGGGAGTTTCCTGGGTCAGGTCTTGAAAGGGCGCGGGAGGGCAAGACGCCATGAGAGCGTGGCCACACGGCGCGCCGTCGGCGTCGCTCGCTCTGTCAACCAGGAATGGCATGTGTGCCATGCAAGGTTTTTCGAGCCTACAATGATCCCTCGACAAAAGTCGCAACCGTTAGCATACCGGCCCTTGCGCATCAAGTCCCCGACAGTGTTGGCTCGCGCTGCTGTGAAGTGACAACCTCGATCGAGGGTCACTGCGGGGGAGGTGAAAGATATGCCTTCGAGGAGGAGTTCTCGTACGTTAAGACGAAGTCAATACCAGCCTGCTCAAGATCAGCCCCGCTCCCGGCAGGCGACTGCTGGCGGTTGTCCGGGGACATTGACATGGAGGTTGAGTGTGATGTTCCAACAGGCGAGAAGCCGCTCTGGGAGCCGGGCGCGAAGCTATTGCCGGAGGCACTTACACTCATCGGCTGCGCAGCACTGCTTCCCGAGTCGTCTATTCTTGGAAGCTGGATGCCCCTCTGGACCAAGACTTCCTTGAGCTGCTTGTTCTCATCGACCAGCTTCTGCTTGTCCATTGAGATTGTGCTGAAGACTTCTTTCAGTCTAAGAACTTCATCTTCCAACGCCTTGATGTACAGTTCCTTTCTCTCGCGGTGCGTGCTATAGATGGCCAACGGCTGGTTAGATTCTACCACGTTCTCGTCATGTCGCACGTTTCTGGGTAAATGCTTACCGCTGAGCCTGTCGGTTGAGTTCTTGCCGCCTAGTCAAGGCGGGCTTGCTGTCTGGCTTCGGTCCACGGCGCTTGGGAGGATTACCAGCTATTTGACGAGAAAAACGGTAGTCAGTCGGCCGGTCCTCTTAATTAAGGGCGCACCAGGTATGTGCTTTGCCGGGATTGCTTACTGCGAGTAACCTTTTTATCCGACAGATTCTTGAAGAAGTTGAGGTTCAGAGAGGAGAGGACGCCCTTGTCGGTGCCCTCGGTAGAGGCCCGTGAGGTGCCTCCTTCGGCGTGGTCTGGGGATAGTGATGACGACATGGCAGCTCGCGATGCTTCGAAGTCTTCGTTGACGTGGAGGAAAATTAATTGTTTGGTCACCGGCGCGGAGATGCTAAAATATTCGCCAGCTGCGAACGGATAAGCCACTGTGCGACGTGAGATTCGGACGAGCTCGCAGCCACAGTGTGGCAAAATCACAACCCGCCAGAAGCAATTGGAGTTTGGGAGGTGGAGACGTACCGTCAAGCGATATACAGACGTGTCAGAGCAGGTGGGAGATTGATGCTGTAGAATGCCAGATCTTGATGGTTTCCAAGGCAGCGTTCACGTTCACGTTCACGGTCCGATAGGGTGATAAGGCAGGCAGGGGTGAGCTACCCGCATCCACCGCAGGAGAGGAGGTGTTACTACTCGTACTAGCAGTGGCAGCAGGAGCAACAGTAAATGTCTGGGGTTGTTGCAGTCGGCGTGTGTCTGAGAGCGGTTCGGGTCGGATCAGCGAGTCGAGACGAGCTAGATCGCGACGCAATACCAGGTAGTCGGGAGCGGGTACAAAAGGACGAATATGGATGAATTACAAGCAAAGTAATAAAGTAATACTTGCGAGGACGACGTAGAGCAGAGGGAGAGCAGCAGCAGATGTATCAATTCCCAGCAATCGGGTTGTGCCTGCGTCGAGGCCGGAGTTAAATGCAGCGGGATGATGGATCAATTAATGGAGAATGGAGAATAGGAGCACAGATGGAAACGTGCGAGGCACAGCGGGGTTCTTGTGTCCCACGGGGGCTTCGAGGGCCCTGAAAGACGGGCTCGTCGGGGGCCCCCTAGCACCCCATTAGTACCTGTACGGGGTGCTTGGCCCGGAGGAGCAGGCAACATTAGGCGAGTCGGTGGAGCGCTGGCAGAACTATCTTACATCCAATGGCTTCCCAGTCCGCTGGAACGGAAAGAGATCGCGCATTGAGTTGGTTGAGCAAGCAAACCCAAACGCAGCACAGCAGCTAATAGTACTGCTTGTTCCGAGCTACGGCAAATTGTGCGGAGCCATGTCTCGGGTTGCGCAGATCAGAGGAGAAAAGTGAGCAATAAGACTTTGTTTTGGAGGTGGGAGCCCGCGGTGGTGCGACTTGGGTTGACTTGGTACATCACAGCACTGGTACCAAGTACATGCATGCAGCGTGCCAGGAGGGAAATTCACAGCCAGAATGGATTACGGGTTGGCAGAATAACGTGTATAGGTAACTTTGCTTCGCGGTCCTACTACTCTACCTACTCAACCTTCATTTCTCAAATCATGGCGCCCCCAAGTCGCAAATCCGAAGAGCGAAGCAATAAACGCCAAGCAGCAAAGCCACCTCTTGCGTCAGTCCTCGAGCCGGCTTGAATTGTTGCTTTGGCCAAAGTTGAGACCGCGCGCGAAGGGGTTGCAACACTAAGAATCCGCACCTTTTTTTAAGGGCCAATGGGCTCGCCGTTTCTTGCTTACCATCACCAAGTGCCGAACATGTATTAGGTACATTACTAATGGGTCTAATGTGATGCTACCATAGAGGCCCGTAAGCACCAGTGTCTGTACTCCGTACTGAGTACGCGGTACGGGGAGTTGCGGTGATACAGGGCGGGCTGCAAATCCAAAAATGAGACATTGCACATGAGAGCACAGCAATGAACCAACCATTCAAGAGTGATCTATGAAGCAAGTGGCCTGATGTCGCAAAAGCCATGTACTTGGCAATCAAGCGGAAGGCAAAATTAGTAAGAGAGACGGTGAAGAGACATAACTAGAAATGAATGGTAATAAGATAGAGCAGAGATGGATGTCTAGAAATGCCTAGAAACAGTGCCATGTGAAGATGAAAGGATTGGCAGGCAGGTTTATCATCAAGACTAATTCTTAGATATAGCACTGCTCCTTGGTGGTTAACAAATGGAAGTGTGCCGTGCCGTTTCGTTTTATTTGTCCGCTGCTTGCTAATGGACCCAGGCCATTCTGCGCGGAATTGCCGTAGGATGGAGAGCATAGCTCGAAACGGGCGCTGGCTCGTTTGAGAAGCTCAAGCCTCAGATCCTCTCCTAGAAAGATAATAGTCGATATTAGCAAGCTACCTGTACTCTTTCCAGCACTGTATGAGGCGCTCATTCCTCGACCTCCTACTTCGAGTCCTAATAGCAGCTGTCTCAATCATTCAAATCCCAACAGAACACGAATATGGCGTCATGTGAGCCGCCAGTCTGACCACCAGCCATAGTCCAGTCAGTCTTAAAAACAATCCCGACTGCCGTTGCGGTTGATTCCTGCATCGGACAGAGTGATTCTAGCGGCACTGGCTGTGCTGCGAGCCTTACTACTAACCCACCTCCAATAACAACCTATACACCAGACGTACCTGTACTTGCTTGTGCTCGTATAGGATGGCTGGCCCTTCGCACAGGTCCCTGATCACACATGTCCGCGGCATCCTGCTGACGGCGCCTTGGTTCCTCTATCTGTTCCTGGCAGATGTAGCGCTGTCGCTGCTGCTGCCGCTCAAGTCGTTGGCTCCTGAGCTCGTCTACAACCTCTCGTCCCGCCTGGCCGGCTCGGTGTGGTGGTGGATTCAGTTCATCTTTCAGCGAGCCAACGGCGCCCAGATTGTGTGTTCCGGCGATGAGCTTCCCCGGGGCGAATCAGCCATCGTCGTTGCCAACCACCAGGCCTGGTCGGACTTCTACATGATCCAAGCCCTGGCAATACGCTCGGGCATGTTGGGCCGGTGCCGCTACATCGCCAAGCGTCAGCTGCGGTTCGTGCCCTTCCTTGGCTGGGGTCTCTGGGCCATGGGTATGCCAATGGTGAGCCGCAGCTGGCTCAAGGACAAATCGGGGCTCGATCGTGCCTTTGCTGGGCTCGTTTCCAGGAGGCTTCCAACCTGTAAGTGGCTCATGTCCTCATGCACGCAATCATTGTATGTCCCACGTATGAGTGCCTGACGAATTCATCGCTGCAGGGCTCATCAGCTTCAGCGAGGCCACTCGCTTCAGCCGGCGCAAGTATCAAGAGTCGCTGGCATGGTGTAAGAAGACGGATCGCCCTCATCCCATGCATCTCCTGTATCCCCGCACCAAGGGCTTCATCGCCACGGTCCAGCACCTCCGCAAAGCACCACACGTCAAGGCTGTGTACGACGTGACCATCTTGTACCGGCGAGGCAGTGAGTTCCAGGAGGTGCCGACCATGTGGGACACTCTGAGCATTCCCAGCCTGAGCAAGGAGGCCGGCTACACATTTCACGTGCACGCTCGTAGGTTTCCGATTGAGACGCTGCCTTACACAGATGCCGAGCTGGCCAGATGGCTGGAGCGGCGATGGATTGAAAAGGGGGAGTGGCTCGAAGCTCAGAGACAGAAGTGTCTAGCCCGCAAGGAAGGGCCCTGCTGAGTTTCAATGCCATCTACGGAGTACAGTACATATAGTCAATCCCTTATCATTGATGCTGCTGTTGCTGCTCTGCCTCCGTCTTGCCCGGTGCAGACCAGGCAGGGTTCAGGGCATTACTATTCTCGGGTTTGTCGCTACTGGTTTTATTTCCGTTTGTCAAGAGATGCAGTATTATGTACGGAGTATATAGTCTACATTTCGAGGAAAATAGGCCATCAGCTGCAGAAGAAGACAGAGATAAGCAGCCTGTATCTACATAGGTATCTGCGGCTAACAAATTTCGGGGAGTTCGGAGTTGTTCTTTGAATGCGCAAAGAATAGCATCGGGCATTGCAATCAAATTTCCATCAAATGCACGAGTACATGGGATCGAATGCAAATAAGCAGTCAGTGCATCGGGCAGAGCTAATTATATCTTGCGTGCTTGGTAGCCATCAAGGGGATCCGAGTTGGGTTGAAAAGATAGTGTAATCGGCTCCTGTGATATGCATCCCAGACGCGCCACAGCCCCTTCAAGATGCATCTTCTGCACAGCTTAGCACGGTGCGAATGCTATTAGTGCTGTCTCCCTCCACCGGCTTTGCTCCCTCTCGCTGCCTCCTCTCATTCCCGCCGCCGCTCGCTGCAGCGCTAGCATCCAAGTGGGAGGTGTGAAGTGGCAGATGAGAGGCCATTGAGCTTGGGGAGAGCTGGAGCTAGAGCTGCTGGACGGCCATCACACCGTCGGAACAAGTGGGAGCGAGAGAGGGTGAGGGTACCCCAAAACGCCCAAAACGCAAAATGCGGAGGAGAGGAGAGGGCCAATGATCCCAAGTCCAAGTCCGAGTCCAAGTCCGAGTCCGCGCTGCCGATCTGGACGCCAACAGCCATCGTCTCTGTCTCTGTCTCTGAATCACTCTCGTTTCGTTTCGTTGGTCCTACCCAAAGCCTGCGAGACGAAAGGCGTTGGTGGTGTAACCGTTCTAGAGCATTTCTCTCCGAATGCACCCAAGCCTTATCGCCACTTCTTCTTGATGCATGCGGTTGCCATCACAACCACACATATAGACCAAGCATGACACCCACAGGATCAGGATGCCGCCTAGACTTGGGGTAATTGGCCTAGTGATGCTTCCAGGGCTGCACCGCACTCGACACGGGCAATGCAATGAGATCAGAGGGTCCTAGCACCTAGTACCGTACAGTGTCGATTGAGCCCCGACGGCAATTACCCGCGCAAGCTCAAGCCCAACCCACGCCCATTGCTGCTGTTATTAATGTCATTACTCTATCTCATCCAAACAACCGCTTACGTGACGTGGCGTGGTCGCAGCAGCCATGTGCCGTGCCGTGCCAATCAGCCCGTATCTTGACAGGCAGGCATTATTATGCAGCGATATGAGAGAGCGGGCGTTGTTTGGAGGGGAAACCCTGGAGCGGCTTTTTTTTTTTTTTTTCTCCCTCTTATCCTTCGTCCTGGGTGCGAAGGCCCTCTCTCGTTTCACAACAGGGGGGGTTTAAGAGCCTCCCCAAGGCCGCTAAAGCCGCCAAGGATTCCCCCCCGTAGGCCTTGCTGCGTAGCGCCGTGCAGCGCCTGGCTGCGCTATACCTGCGCTGTGGCCAGCAGAGTTTAGAGGCGGCT